CTCTTTAAGTTTGGGTTATCAGCAAAAACCCATTAGAGTATGAGAAATTTCTTTTTAAATTGTGGCAAAATATATGTAATATAAAAATTACCATTGCAGCTATTGTACATTGTAGCTAAGTATACAGTCCAGTAGCATTAAGTACATTTACACTGTTGTGTACCACTATCTAGCTCCAAAAATCTTTAATCTTCCCAAACAGAAACTTGTACCCATTAACCAATACCTTCTCCTTCCTCATTTCTCCTAGAAACCAGAATTATACTTTGTGTCTCTATAAATTTGACTACTCTGGGTACTTCATATAAGTGGAATCACAGTATGTGTCCTTCTGTGACTGGCTTCTTTCAGTTAGAATCATGTCTTCAGCCAGGTGCAGTGGCTCACGTCTGTAAACCCAGCACTTTGGGACGCCAAGGTGGGTGGATCACAAGGTCAGGAGATCGAGATCACCCTGGCTAACACACTGAAACCCCGTCTCTATGAAACATACAAAAAATTAGCCGGCTAAAAAATTAGCCGGCGGGCTCCTGTGGTCCCAGCTGCTCAGGAGGCTGAGGCAGGAGAATGGTGTGAACCCAGGAGGTGGAACTTGCAGTGAGCCAAGATCGTGCCACTACACTCCAGCCTGGGCAACAGAGCAAGACTCCGTCTCAAAAAAAAAAAAAAAAAAAGAATCATGTCTTCAAGATTCATCCATGTTATAGCATGTGTCAGATTTCCTTTTCTTTTTTTTTTTTTTTTTTGAGACAGAGTCTCTCTCTGCCACCCAGACTGGAGGGCAGTAGCACAATCTCAGCTCGCTGCAGTGTCTGCCTTCTGGGTTCAAGCAATTCTTGTGCCTCAACCTCCCGAGTAGCTGGAATTACAGGCATGCACCACCACACCTGGCTAATTTTTGTATTTTTAGTAGAGACGGGGTTTTACCATGTTGACCAGGCTGGTCTTGAACTTCTGGCCTCAAGTGATCTGCCTGCCTCGGCCTCCCAAAGTGTTGGGATTACAGGCGTGAGCCACTACGCCTGGCCCCTAATTGTCATTATTTAAGGCTAAGTGATATTCTGCTGTCTGTATACACCACATTTTGTTTATTCATTCATCTGTCAATGGACATTTGGGTTGTTTCCACGCCTTGGTTATTGTGGATAATACCACTGTGAACATGAGCATACAAATATCTGCTCCAGTCCCTGCTTTTAACTCTTTTGGGTATATGCCCAGAGGTGGAATTGCTGGGTCACAAGGTAATTCTAGGTTTAATTTATTGAGGGACTGTTGTACTGTTCTCCACCGTAGCTGTACCATTTTACCTTCCCAGCAGCAGCATCCAGTGGACAAGCGGTCCAGTTTCTCCACATCTTCACCCACACTTGTTACTTTTGGCTTTTATATTATTTTTTAAAAATAACATTCTAATGGGTGTTAAGTGGTCAGAACTGGTTCTTTTAGGAGAAGAGATAGAGGTCAGGGGGATGGCTCACACCTGTAATCCCAGCACTTTGGGAGGCCTAGGTGGGCGGATCACTTGAGGTCAGGAATTTGAGATCAGCCTGGCCAACATGGTGAAACCCCATCTCTATTAAAAATACAAAAATTAGCTGGGTGTGGTGGTGTGCACCTGTAATCCCAGCTACTTGGGGGAGCTGAGGGATGAGAATCGCTTGAACCCGGGAGGTAGAAGTTGCAGTGAGCTGAGATTGCACCACTGCATGGCCTGGTGACACAGCAAGACTCTATCTCAAAAAAAAAAAAAAGAGTAGAGATAGAAAAGCATTGAGAACACAGCCTCAGCTCAGCTCAGTCTGCCATGGTGGGAAGCCATTAATTCTTCACTCTTGAAACCTTTTCTTCCTTGGTGTAGCAGAGGCTGCAAGTCACCTCTGCAACTTTATTCTTCCCTTCTTTCTCAGTTATAAAATCCCTGATTTTAGAAACATCTTTATTGAGATGTAATTCACATACCGTAACATTCACTACAATTGAATGGTTTTTAGTATATTCACAGATTTGTACAACTATCATCACAATCTAAGTTTAGAACTGTTTTCATCATCCCACAAAGAAACCCCACACCCATTAGCAGTTATTCACTATTTCCTCCCAACCAACCTCCCCTCCTCCCAATAGCCCTAGGCAAACACTAGTCTACTTTCTGTCTCTACCGATTTGTCTTTTCTGGACATTTCATACAAATAAGATTTTACAACATGTGGTCTTTTGTGACCGGCTTTTTCCCCCTAGCATAATGTTTTGCAGGTTCGTCTGTGTTGTAGCAGGTATCAGTACTTCAACCCCTTTTATTGCCAAGTAATATTCCATTATATGGATAGCTCATATTTTGTTTATCCATTCATCAGTTGATGGACATTTGGGTTGTTTCCGTTTTCTTGACTATTATGAATAATGTTGCCATGAATATTAATGCACAAGTTTTTGTGCAGATGTGTATTTTCATGTGTCTTGGTTTTATACCTAGGAGTAGAATTGCTGAGTCATAGGAGAGCTCCTCCATGTTTAACCATTAACGAACTGCCAGACTGTTTTCCAAAGAAACGGCACCATTGTACAATCCCACCAGCAAGGTATGAGGGTAGAATCCCTGATTTTTAACTGATCATTGAGCTCAGGCCCATTCAAAACAAAGATGACATTTCCTAACCTTCCTTACAAGTAGTTCTGACCAGTGGGATGGGAGAAGAAGTTAGGTTTTGTCTTTAAAAGAAAGAGTGGCCAGGCGCCGTGGCTCACGCCTGTAATCCCAGCACTTTGGGAGGCTGAGGTGGGCGGATCATCTGAGGCCAGGAGTTCGGGACCAGCTTGACCAACATGGAGAAACCCTGCTCTACTAAAAATACAAAATTAGCTGGGCGTGGTGTGCATGCCTGTAATCCCAGCTACTCGGGAGGCTGAGGTGGGAGAATCGCTTGAACCCGGGAGGCAGAGGTTTCAATGAGCCAAGATTGTGCCATTGCACTCCAGCCTGGGCAACAAGAGTGAAACTCCATCTCAAACAAAAAAAGAAAGAAAAGAGGGTACACTCTACACTCTCTTCTCCTCCACCCTGCCCCCTTTCCAGTGGCTGGATGTGGACATGGTGGTAAGCTATCTTAGATCATGTGGACAAGGGAAACACATAGGGATATTAGAGCCTCTAGACAGAAGGAACTTAGGACCCTGGACAGCTTTGTGGAGCAGTGCTTCCATACCAGTGAAGTTTTGTATGGGAGAAAATACACATTTTTAACTTCTGTAAGCCACTGTTATTTTGGGTCTCTCAGAGCAGCCATATATAATTTAACTAATATATTTTCTTTCTGTGATTCTTCTTTATTTTGATTATACTTCTACTTCTTTGCCCCTCTTTTAGGAGGGAGGTGCTGCTCCAAGCACTAACTCAGAATATAGACCCTCTCCCTCTTGCAATTGTGCCAGCTTGGAGTTCTTTGCTTCCACTGTAGGTGAAGGAAGGAAAAAGTATGGAGAACTCACATCCACTCTTCATTATCCTCAAACAGAAGTAACCCATTTTCTTCTGCTCACAGCCCATTGGCCAGAACTAACTGTATGACCCCAATCTAATTGCAAAGGAGTCTGGGAAGTAGAGCACAGTACATGGATCTTTGGAAAGCGTTAATTTTCTCTGCCAAAGGTTTCTTTTTTTGTTGTTTTTTTTGAAATAGAGTCTTGCTCTGTCACCCAGGGTGGAGTCCAGTGGCCCAATCTTAGCTCACTGCAACCTCCCCCTCCCAGGTTCAAGCACTCCTCCAGCCTCGGCCTCCCGAGTAGCTAGGATTACAGGCGTGTGCCATCACACCTGGCTAATTTTTTTTTTTGTATATATGCATACAAAAAATATGCTAATTTTTTGTATATATGCATACATATACATACATACACATATACATATATGTATGCAAGAATGTAACATATATGTGTGTATACATATACACACATATATATGTCCCTTGCAGCCAAGTCTAATTCTAACTAATACAAACTAACTCTAAAAAATGAATATACATTCACCAGGGGATAGGCTATTTCAAGCAGAGGGAAGAGCCTGTATAAAGGCTCAGGGAATGCTGTGGTTTTATGTGGCAGCAGACGAGACTGGAAATAAGTCAGGATGATCCACAGTGGAGGATGAATTAAATGGGCAGGAGTGTGGCAGAAAGACCTGTTGGAGGCTATGAATGTAATCAAAGTGACAGACAACTGGTGCAATGATTGTAGTGGAAATGGAGGTGAGGAGATTGATTCAAGATGCATTTAGGATCAAGAATTGGGAGCTTGTGAACGTGTGTGTATGAGTACAGTAGATGGAGTGGGTGTGTCATCAGAGAAGATCTGAGCATTTGGGCTTGCTCTCCTCAGAGGCCCTGCTGGTGGAGTTCAGCCTTTCCCCATGGGGCAAATCCTACTTTCACTCCAGTTCCTGGGGCTCAGAGTCCCTGGCCCAGATGTCTCTTGCCATCTCATCTTCACCCTGCCTGGCTTCCCTTGCTTGTTCCAGGATTATTTCACAAAGAGGGACGTGGTTGGGTCTTTAACCCTGTGAATGCCAGCTCTCCCCAGGATGCCTGAGGAGCCTGTAGTGGAGCTGTCAGGGGCTGCTCAGGTTCTGGCTGGCAGCTGGACACTGTCCGTCTTGCCAGCTGGGACACAGTGCCTCTGGGTAGTTGTGTAAGAGAGGGGCCCTTGGCAGACATACAGGTTCTTCTCTATTGGTGGGCCAGCCAGCAGGTCAGTGGGAAGGTTAAAGGTCATGGGGTTTGGGGGAAACTGGGTGAGGAGTTCAGACCCATTCCCAGTAAAGCCTCTGGGAAGCACTTCTCTACTGGGGTAGCCCCTGATACCAGGGCACTCATTAACCCTCTGGGTGCCAGGGAAAAGGCAGGAGGTGAGTGCTGGGAGGCAGCTGAGGTCAACTTCTTTTGAACTTCCACGTGGTATTTACTCAGAGCAATTGGTGCCAGAGGCTCAGGGCCCTGGAGTATAAAGCAGAATGTCTGCTCTCTGTGCCCAGACGTGAGCAGGTGAGCAGCTGGGGCAGAGGGATGGGGGTCACAGTCCTAAGGCAGGGTATCGCAGGTGGCCTCAGGGGCGAGCCTGGGGTGGCCCCTAAGACGTCCTCTTGGAACACTTTGGCAGAGTTGTATCTTTGCCCTCGTTATGGCTCAGCGTTTCCCACCATGAAATGGGAGGGAGGGAGACAGGTGGGCAGGGGAGAGGTGGTAGAAGTGGCCTAGGGAGCTGCTCCTGGGGTCTGGGACCTTTGCAAAGGGGTTAGAGCAGCACGCTCCCTGCTACCTGACTGAGGTGGCAGGGGCACGCCCTCTCCCCATGTCTGAGGAAGACACCCAGCCTCCTTGACTCACCTAGGTCAGTCCTCTTGAGCCCCAACAGCTCTGTACTCCCCAGCCCAAGGAAGGGTTAACAGGATTTCGGGCAGTTGCCCCTGGAGAGGTCCCCTGGGCAAGTCACCTGCACCATGTCCCTTCCTCTGCTTCTTCCCCTAACCAGGCCTCCCTCCACCTGTCTTCTCAGAGCAGATAATGGCAAGCATGGCTGCCGTGCTCACCTGGGCTCTGGCTCTTCTTTCAGGTGGGTCTCCGACCCTGACTTCAACGTGGGGGTGTGGGTGGAGGCTGGCCTGAGGGCCCTGTCCACCCTGGGGAGGAGAGCCCAGGCCCTGATTACCTAGTTCCTCTCCGCAGCGTTTTCGGCCACCCAGGCACGGAAAGGCTTCTGGGACTACTTCAGTCAGACAAGCGGGGACAAAGGCAGGGTGGAGCAGATCCATCAGCAGAAGATGGCCCGCGAGCCCGCGTGAGTGTCCAGGGGAAGGGGAGTAGGCGAAGGGAGGAGACAGCTGGACCATGCCATGATGCCCTGCCTCTGCTGCCTCAACCTCTGTGGCCGCTGCTGGGACAGAGGAAAGGAGCGGTGCTAGCTCTGCCCGCAGATCCCGGCCATCCTGGGCTCTTCAGCGCCCTCTGCCTGCAGCCCCCATCTTGACAACTCCATAGCTGTTGCCCCATTGCCCACTGAGGCGCGGGACTTGGGATCAACCGGGAAGACGCCCGCTGCAGTCCCCAGAATCAAAGGATGATGTGGCGCATCTATGTTTATTTGTAGAGTGTTGTAGGTCTGGATTTGCATGTGCGATGTGTTTGTGCTTCGTGCGTGAGGAGTTGTGACTGGCCAGGGTTAGGACAACAGCCCTCGACTCTGGGGCCAACGCCCTGAGTCCTTGGTTCCCCCAGAGGATCAGTGACCGATGACTTGGGGATAAAGGAGATGATGGGGGCTAGCAGTCTGATGACCTGGATATCTGTTCCCTTCCCCAGGAGCCTGAAAGACAGCCTTGAGCAAGACCTCAACAATATGAACAAGTTCCTGGAAAAGCTCAGGCCTCTGAGTGGGAGCGAGGCTCCTCGGCTCCCACAGGACCCGGTGGGCATGCGGCAGCAGCTGCAGGAGGAGTTGGAGGAGGTGAAGGCGCGCCTCCAGCCCTACATGGCAGAAGCGCACGAGCTGGTGGGCTGGAATTTGGAAGGCTTGCGGCAGCAACTGAAGCCCTACACGATGGATCTGATGGAGCAGGTGGCCCGGCGCGTGCAGGAGCTGCAGGAGCAGTTGCGCGTGGTGGGAGAAGACACCAAGGCCCAGCTGCTGGGGGGCGTGGACGAGGCGCGGGCTTTGCTGCAGGAACTACAGAGCCGTGTGGTGAACCACACTGGCCGCTTCAGAGAGTTCTTCCACCCCTACGCCGAGAGCCTGGTGAGCGGCATCGGGCGCCACGTGCAGGAGCTGCACCGCAGGGTGGCTTCACACGCCCCAGCCAGTCCCGCGCGCCTCAGTCGCTGCGTGCAGGTGCTCTCCCGGAAGCTCACGCTCAAGGCCAAGGCCCTGCACACACGCATCCAGCAGAACCTGGACCAGCTGCGCGATGAGCTCAGCAGGGCCTTTGCAGGCACTGGGACTGAGGAGGGGGCCGGCCCAGATCCCCAGATGCTCTCGGAAGAGGTGCGCCAGCGACTCCAGGCTTTCCGCCAGGACACCTACCTGCAGATCGCTGCCTTCACTCAGGCCATCGACCAGGAGACTGAGGAAGTCCAGCAGCAGCTGGCGCCACCTCCACCAGGCCACAGCGCCTTCACCCCAGAGTTTCAACAAACGGACAGTGGCAAGGTTCTGAGCAAGCTGCAGGCCCGTCTGGATGACCTGTGGGAAGACATCACTCACAGCCTTCATGACCAAGGCCACAGCCACCTGGGGGAGCCCTGAGGGTCTACCTGCCCAGGGCCATTCCCAGCTCCTTGTCTGGGGAGCCCTGGCTCTGAGCCTCTAGCATGGTTCAGTCCTTGAAAGCGGCCTGTTGGGTGGAGGGCGGAAGGTCCTGTGCAGGACAGGGAGGCCACCAAAGGGGCTGCTGTCTCCCGCATATCCAGCCTCCTGCGGCTCCCCCATCTGGATGCATTACACTCACCAGGCTTTGCAAACCCAGCCTTCCAGTGCTCATTTGGGAATGCTCATGAGTTGCTCCATTCAAGGGGGAGGGAGTAGGGAGGGAGAGGCACCATGCGTGTGGGTGAGTATCTGCAAGCCTGTTTGCTGTGATGCTGGAAGCCTGTGCCACTGCGTCCTGGAGTTTGGCTCTGGTCACTTCTGGCTGCCTGGTGGCCACTGCTACAGCTGGTCCACAGAGAGGAGCACTTGTCTCCCCAGGGCTGCCATGGCAGCTATCAGGGGAATAGAAGGGAGAAAGAGGAGAATATCATGGGGACAACATGTGATGGTGTGTGAATATCCCTGCTGGCTCTGATGCTGGTGGGTATGAAAAGTGGGGGCCGTGATAGGAGAGGGCAGAGCCCATGTTTCCTGACATAGCTCTACACCTAAATAAGGGGCTGAACCCTCCAAACTGTGGGAGCTCCTTAAACCCTCTGGGGAGCATAATGTGTGCTCTCCCCATCTCCAGCCCCTCCCTCTGGACTCCCAAGCTGAAGCCTAGACTTCTGGCTCAAATGAAATAGATGTTTATGATAGAAGTTTGCCTGGTGTGACTCTCATTTGGACCATGTCTGAAAGCAGTGGCCTCACCACTCTCCCCAAAGCACACCCATCACCCACTCCATTCCCTTGCTGCTCTTTCTCATTGACCCCCTCCCAGTCCAGGTCTGTCAAAGGGGTTCTGACTGGGCTCTGCTTCAGGGATCCTGGCTAGACAACGCTGTCTGTCACACCTGGTGGGAGGGCCTGAGTTACGGACCCTTCCTCCGCACCTGCACTATTCACTAGCCTGCTCCCCACAGGACAGTGTGCATGGAATGCAGGCTGTGTCTGGAAGACCTGTGGCCCTGGGGGACCTGAAATTCCTGAGGTGGGCTGCCTGCTTCCTTTGTTCCTGCTGTTCTAGAGTTTAAATGGCCTCTTTTTATGCTGGACTCTCTTCTTGGGATTCTCAAACTCTTTCACTCAGCAGCATCAATGCTCCCTATAGATCCCCTGGGAACTGAAACTGCGGTGTGGTGGAGGAAGTGGAAAGGGTAAACACAGTCTCTTGTCTTTGGACTGCCCTGTCCGGCCCCCTTTCCTCCCAGTTCAGCCTACTGTCCCAGGGTTCTCAGCACCTGCCTGTTCCCCAACCCCGTAGCACAGACCCCACACATATGTAGGCTCATCATGCCTGCAGGCTGGTCTTCCCTGACACCCTGGATGTTGACAATAGAACTGGGTTGTGGACCCAGCACCTGGAGAGAAGAAGTGCTAGAAAGGTAGAAATAATAAAAGGTGTTTTTGTTGTTGTTAGGAAACTGGAAAAGCATGGGTCAAGGGGGTGGGCTATGGTGGGGATGGGAGGAGGTGGGAGTGAAAATGAGGGCTGTGTACTTGAGGCTGGGATTGGGGAAGGTAGTGATGAGGACAGAATAGGGAGTGGGAAGGACAGAAAAGGACAGCCGGCTTCAGGGATTGAGAGAGGGGAAAAAGCTGAGCCACCCGGAGGGGGGACCTAGCACGCAAGCAGCATGTGGCCCAACACTGGAACCAAGCATCCCGGCTCCGGGCGCACCGTCTCAGGATTCCCCAGGGACAAGTCCGGCCCCTTGTCCTCAAGGCTCTACCGACGTAAGGACCAATAGAACCCGGTGCGGTGGAGCTATTGTGAAGGAGCAAAAAACTGCCCTGGTTCTAAGAGGACGTCTTGGGGGAAGTGACGGCTGAGTTGAGGTGGATCTGGCTGGCGATGGAAGGTTCGAGCCATATAAACCTGGGAACCCGGAGCCTTTGACGACATTGTTCGCCGAAGGCCCGGAGTCTGCGGACTCTTTAAGAAGGGAGGCGGGGGTGGTGGCAGCTGGCGGAAGTGACGGTAGGGGTGGGGCCGCTAGAGCGGCGGAAGTCGGAAGCAGAGGTCCAAATTGCGCGTGGTGGCCATGGCGGCGAGCGGGGCTGTGGAACCCGGGCCCCCGGGGGCTGCTGTCGCCCCCTCGGTCGCCCTGGCCCCGCCGCCCGCCGCTGATCACTTGTTCCGGCCCATCAGCGCCGAGGACGAGGAGCAGCAGCCCACTGAGATCGAATCGCTATGCATGAACTGTTACTGCAATGTGAGGCGGGGGGGTAGGGCTTGGGCCGGGACGAGCCGGGGGTCGGACCCAGCCAGGTGGGCCTTGCCGGGGACCCCGAGACGCACCCGGAGATAGTAGGGCGGGGAACGGGAGTTTCATTGATTTTTTTTCCTTCGCTGCTTTCTGCTTCACAGGGCATGACGCGCCTCCTGCTCACCAAGATTCCCTTCTTCAGAGAAATAATCGTCAGCTCCTTTTCCTGCGAGCACTGTGGCTGGAACAACACGGAGATTCAGTCGGCAGGCAGGGTCCAGGACCAGGGAGTACGATACACTTTGACCGTCAGGGCTCCGGAGGTGAGAGGACCTTGGAGCAGGTACCTCAGTATTCTAGAGGGAGATTGGGGACTGGGGTCAGAGCTCGGGTCCAGGCGGTCTGATCTTAAATAAATCCCCCTATGTCTCCTAGCCTTAGTTTCTTTTGTAAAATGGTACTGGTGTTGTCATCAGCTCAGGTGAGATAAGATTTGTGAACATGCTTCGTAAATGTCTGAGCATATGAAATGAGCAGTAGTTGTTATGAATAGTATTCTCACCATTTGGACAGCCTGGCTCACACCACCTGTACTATTTGAAAGGAGCAGTCTGGACCCTGTGGAGCGGTGAGAGGGAGAGACAGCTGGGCTGGGGTCTGATGGAAAGGGGACAGTCTGGTTATTACTTGAGGAGAAGCTGTTCTGCAGCCTCTTTGTACTGAACGTATTCCTTTCTGCCCAGGACATGAATAGAGAAGTGGTGAAGACTGACTCTGCTACCACAAGGATTCCTGAGCTAGATTTTGAAATTCCTGCCTTTAGCCAGAAAGGAGGTAAGTTTAAAATCAGAGTATTTGGGCTATTCACATGTAGCCAGAATCTTACCCTCTTTCTTGCAAACCCCCTGGTGCCAGGTCTAATGGTTTGTGTATGGGTTCTACCATGTAATCATTGTGATTTTCATTGGTTTATCATGAGTAGAAAGCTTAGGTCAAACAGCTCGAGATGGTAGAAAGTAATGGTAATACCATAGTGTGTTTATTATAGAATTTTAGCATCACTGTTATCAGGCATGAATGGAACCTTGCACCTGGCCTTCTCATTTTATGGATGAGGAAATTAAGACCCAGAGAGTTCAAGTGAATTGCCCAGGGTCATACAGGCACTTGATAGCAGAGCTAAGGCTAAGTCACACTTGTTTTTTGTTGTTGTTCACAAGCTCTGACCACTGTTGAAGGATTGATCACCCGTGCTATCTCTGGCCTGGAGCAGGACCAGCCTGCACGAAGGGTAAGCTGGGGTTTTCTGATTGTAGCGGCTCAAGGAATAATTGCTTATATGTGTCTGACTATAGAGTGTCCCATGTGTCTGAATAGTCTCTGACTAAATTTTGGAAACTTGCTGGGTAAGCATATGGTGGTGCTGGAGCTGCTAGGATGTTGCATATGTTGTAATTATTGTCTTTTCCACTTCCCTCTCTCAGTATATATTCAGGCCTCATCAGACAGACGATATAACGTTACCTCTGAAGAGCTTTTCCTAATCCCCTTGGGTTATCTGTGTTTCCTGAGTATTCTGTTGCATTCTTATATTTATTATGACAAGTAATATACTTGCATACTATAACTGCATACTATAACTGCATCTTTAGTTATTTGTCTCCTTAATTGACTGGGGAGTCCCATGAGAGGACTGATATATTTACTATTATTATCTCTAACATGGCATGAGTGGCTGGGCTAAATGGTTGAATGAATGAGAAAAATGAGGCTTGCCTGTCACCACCCGTCAACTTCAGGCTTGTTTGCTACATCTCATTATGAAGCCTGAAGTTTCCACTCACACTGAGACAGGTGGTGACTTCCTAATGGAAGTAACATGGGCATGACGAGGGGCAGGGCATAAGTACACCACCAGGGCTGATGCTTTACTCTCTGTTCACGGCAGGCAAACAAAGATGCTACAGCTGAAAGAATTGATGAGTTCATTGTCAAACTGAAGGAGCTAAAGCAAGTAGCCTCCCCTTTCACTCTGGTGAGTATTGAGAGACTGGAGTTGCCCTCGATTAGGGGAGGAAGGACTATTAAGACTGCTGGGATTTTCCACTGTGGTGCCTGAGTAGTCTGATAGTAGGTGATGTAGGATTGTTTATGATTTCCTTTTGCAATGACTCTCTCTTCACCCATTTGTTAGATCATTGATGATCCCTCAGGGAACAGCTTTGTGGAAAACCCACATGCTCCTCAGAAAGATGATTCCCTGGTGATCACACACTACAACCGGACCCAACATCAGAAAGAGATGCTGGGGCTCCAAGTAAGTGGACTAAAGGATCCAGAAGAATGCTCTGGAATTATCGCACACTCTGGATTGCTTGGAGTCAGTGGAACTTATTTTGCTGCTGCTGCTCTGTGTGCCCTATCTCAGCTTGTTTGTGCTTCTCATCTTGCTCATGTCCAGGACTTGGGTAAACTTCACAGAAAGGATGGCAGTGGCTGTGATCCTATCTTAAGCCCTGTTCTTCCCTTGGTTGGGGCTTTACTTTGTGGTTTCTCTAACTGATGAGGTGGCACCTGACATAAGTGAGCCAGAGCATTTTCTTCCACTCCAGGGCAGGGTGTTGGGGACACTGAGTTATACCTGCCAACATGCGATGTGCATCTTTGCCATTTTAGGAAGAAGCACCAGCAGAGAAGCCAGAAGAGGAAGATCTCAGAAATGAAGTGAGTCACATTGGCTACTGGTGAGGAAGGAGCAGAGCTGTGGGCTGAGACTGATGCTGTTCAGCATCTGTCTTCCTTGTCACCAACATAGATGACCACCAGCATACCAACTGAGTGTCTTTAGCCTGAACATCCCATCGGGGAGGGCTCACCCTTTGTCCCAATGTTGTGTTCCAGGTGCTCCAGTTCAACACAAACTGCCCAGAATGCAACGCCCCTGCTCAGACCAACATGAAGCTAGTACGTATCTTTTGCCAAGCAGTTGGGTTGCTCTTCCTTTGACTCAGGCATGAAGATTATAATTAGGCTGGGAGCATCCCTTTCAAGGAAAGCACATACGTTATACCCAGTAATAAGGAGGATATTATCTTTGATTAGACTGTGTACCTTGGGTTTTATGTTCAAAGAGAAAATTAGGCCATGGTCACTAGACTGTGTGTATGTGGTCTGAGCCATGCCTTCAAATGTGTGAACAGGGATCGCCATGGGTTGGGAACTTGCCCTCTTCTGGAGCACTCTGTGGGCTGCCTCTTGTGAATATTTCCTGCAGTTCTGGGACCAGCATATGTTTGTGTGGGGTTTGGCTTTGTTTTTCCCCAGATGGTGGTCCTGTTCACCTGGATGTAGATTTCCTTAACTCCGTTTTCCAGAAATCCCTCACTTTAAGGAGGTTATCATCATGGCTACCAACTGCGAGAACTGTGGGCATCGGACCAATGAGGTGGGTGGGCACCATTATTTGGGAAGAAGACTAGCTTAAGGTTAACCCCCTTTTAACTATCATTCTTCCTAAATACTTCAGGACTTGGGGGCAGGGGGTGTAGAGCAGCTTGGGTCTTTTTCTTAGGTCTAGTGTAGGGTAAAGAGCCCTTGAAGGAACGGGAAGTAGCCTAGAAAAGAAAAGTTAGAGATTCTATAACTTGTTTAAGACATATTAAAGGTTGATGATATAAGAGAAAAGTCTTTTGACCCACTCCTCAGAGGTGTGGAAGTTCAGTGAGGCAGACTTAAGACTTCACAATGAAGAACCCAATAGAGCTGTCTGAAAATAGAATGAGCTGCCTTGGAGAATTATAAATTCCCTTCTCCTGAGTGTATCTGAGTATAAGCTAATTCAGTTCTTTAACCAGAATATTATAAAGGAGACACTCATTGGATGCAGTGGATGAAAGGACTGCAATAAATGCTTAAAAGTCTCTTTCAACCCCAAGAGTCAGGTTTTTTAAAGGTAAATTCAGAGTTTGTTGGCAGTTTGGGAGAGGTTTTGGCATGTTACCAGGGTTGGGCACTGCTCCTGGCCAGCTCTTGGTGTTTTTGGTTTGGGTGACTGCTGTTTAGAAGGCTCTTTCTTTGGTAGCTATTAGTGGGCCTAACTGATTGGAGGTCTAAGCCTACACTCCACGTCTCCTGGGTACCAAGATAGGCTCGGGTCTTCTCTCTGTTGCTCCTGACTGTTATCTATGCAGGTGAAATCTGGAGGAGCAGTAGAACCCTTGGGCACCAGGATCACCCTCCACATCACAGATCCCTCAGATATGACCAGAGACCTCCTCAAGGTAACAGTCAGCTTGGGAAAGTCAGTGTCCTCCTCCTAAGTTAGATAAGCTGTCTCTATCTAGGTGAAGCTGTCTTTTAGGAATAATGTTCAGGGCCATGAGGCATCTCCTACTTCCCTGGCTTTGAGGACCCCTGAGCAGAGGGGATTAATCCAAGGTTGGAATTGCAGATGTAGAAGGTGACCTGTTAGCTCTTTCTGATGACTGGGTAGCTTTTTGGCCTCCAGTGTTTCTCTGGGTCCTCTTCTCTGTCCCCTAATGACAGGATACCCGACAGCTTGAAACTATGACTGAGTTTCCCTTTATTAAGTTGGATCCATTCCCGTGGTTCAGATGGACAGGAGTGAGTCTCAAGCTTTAACAAGGGAGTCAGAGAAAACTGGGACAGCTGCCCTTGTCCCCAGTCTATCACTACTGGTATTAATTGAGCAGGAGGCCTCTGGTTGGCTTTCTTTGCTTCTGACTTAAAGCTTAAAACTGACCTCTCATCTCACAGTCTGAGACTTGCAGTGTGGAAATCCCAGAGCTAGAATTTGAACTGGGAATGGCCGTCCTTGGGGGCAAGTTCACCACCCTGGAAGGGCTGCTGAAAGACATCCGAGAACTGGTGAGTCACCTGAGTAGCGTGTAAACCATCTTTGAGCAATTTGGCTGTGTGAAAAAGGACTGGAAAACTTCAAACATCCTAGTTTTCGGTGGTGGTAACTGTGGGTTTCTTTGCCTTAAAGCTGGTTTAAGAGACTTAAATATTATTTTGGATTGTGAAGAGACAAATATTATTTTGGATTGTGAAGATAAGTTTATGGGAAATGTTGAATGGAAATTCCAGGCCTAACTTTGGGACTTCATAGTTATTTTGTGGTCTTGGAGAAGTCATTTATTTTACTGGAAAGTTAGGTGATGAGGGTCCTTCTAAGCACCTAAAACTTCCCAACATAAAAAACATACATGTGTTGACTTAGCCCAAATATTTATCTTCTTGATGAATTATTTCACTTGATTCTCTGTTGGGCATTTTGTATTTGTAAATTGTACTTTTTCTTTGCATTTCTTCTCCAAATTAGTATTAGAGATCACATTCTAAGAGCATGTTTCGGTTTTTGTTTTACATTGCCAGTTTTGTTATCTTGGCACATTATCCCATAGACTCCTAGTAGCGACTGCCTTGGTTAGAAAGGTGGTGTGGTCTAAATGGAAACCAAGTTTCCCTGACTGGGCACCCACTGCCACCCCCTGCGTAGTTTATGGTCAGGCCTAACAAATATAAAGCCAGTATTCACACAATTTGGATATCATTTATTGCAGGTGACCAAAAATCCTTTCACACTGGGTGACAGTTCCAATCCTTGCCAGAAAGAGGGACTGCAGGAGTTTAGCCAGAAGATGGACCAGGTAAGAGGTCACTGGCCAGTCAGTACTTAGGGTCCAGTGAACAAGAGGCTGCATGCTCATGTCTTGCCACTTTTTGAACATCTAACCATCGTGTTGGGCATTCTTCTGGTTTTCTTTTTCTTTTTTTGTTTTTGGAAACAGTCTTGTTCTGTTGCCCAGGCTGGAGTGCAGTGGCGCAATCTTGGCTCACTGCAACCTCTGCCTCCCGGGTTCACACAATTCTCCTGCCTCAGCCTCCCGAGTAGCTGGGATTACAGGCGTACACTACCACGTGTGGCTAATTTTTTGTATTTTTAGTAGAGACAGGGTTTCACTATGTTGGCCAGACTGGTCTCGAACTCCTGACCTCGTGATCCGCCTGCCTCGGCCTCCCAAAGTGCTGGGATTACAGGCATGAGCCACCGCGCCCGGCCCTATTCTGGTTTTCTGTATTCCATGTCTTCTTTCTTGTTTTTCTCCCTTATTTTGTTAGAGCATCTCCTCCAGTAGCTTCCTGGGACAAAGCACACGGGAAATAAAATTTCTGGGACCTTCCACGTCTGAACATTTCTTTATTCTGTTATCACACTAAAGTGATTATTGGCTGGGAATACGATTCTAGGATAGAAATAATTTTCAAAGACCCTGCACTACGGTCTTCCAGTTTGGCAAAGACATTGCATTACAGTCTTCCAGTTTGGCTGTTGAGAAGTCTGAAGCCATTTTGATTTCTGGTCTTTTATATGTGACCTAGTCTTGTGATCTCTTTGTCTTCTTTGATGTGAAAAAATTTCAGGATGTGCCTTGGAGTGGGTCGATTTTTTGTTTTGTTTTGTTTTGTTTTGTTTTGAGACGGAGTCTCGCTATTTCGCCCAGGCTGGAGTGCAATGGCCGGATCTCAGCTCACTGCAAGCTCCGCCTCCTGGGTTTACGCCATTCTCCTGCCTCAGCCTCCCGAGTAGCTGGGACTACAGGCGCCGGCCACCTCGCCCGGCTAGTTGTTTTTTTTTTTTTTTTAGTAGAGAGGGGGTTTCACTGTGTTAGCCAGGATGGTCTCGATCTCCTGACCTCGTGATCCGCCCATCTCGGCCTCCCAAAGTGCTGGGATTACAGGCTTGAGCCACCGCGCCCGGCCGGAGTGGGTCAATTTTTACCCACTGGGCTAAGCACTTGGTGGATCTGTGGATCTTTTCAGTCTGGAAAACTCATGTGGTTCAGTTTTAAGAAGCTTTCATGAATGATTCTATTGAAGATTATCTTTTTTCTGATTTTTCTGTCCTTTCTGAGAACTCCTGGATTTTAGATATTAGACTTACTTGTCTGGTCTTCTATAATTTACTTTTTTTTTTTTTGTTCTATTTTTGGTTTCTTGGTCTTTTTGTTCACTTTGGGAGATTCCCTCAACTTTATTTTTCAACCTTTCAATTGACGTTTTCATTTCCACTAAAACTTTTATTTTCCAAGGAGCTTTTTAAAAAATAGCGTCCTGTCTTAAGGATGTAATATTTTTTTCTTCTTGAAGATTATTATTATTTTTTAAATTTTTTGAGCATGTAATTTATATAGCGCTTCTTGATACTGATGTTGGATCTTTTTTGACATTTTATTCTCCTTGCATCCTCTTTTTTCCCATTTGATTTCCCATCTTTCAATGTTAAGGGCTTTGCTCAGATGTCTGATAATCATTGTCTTCTTACAAGTAGCTGACTAAAGACCTGAGTAGGGGGTGAGCCTTGTTGACATGGGGCTTATTACAGGGGAATTTAGCTTAGTTGTTTTGTTGAGGTGGCCTCCAATGACAGAATTGTTAGGTCTTTCCTCTTGGGCTAGTCAGATTCCACTCCGTGGTTGTTGCATTTCCTGGCCTGAGGGTAAAGGCTTGGCTGGCAGTGTTCTGAGAGCTGTGGAAAGGGGGCTAGGGTGTGTATGTATTCTGTTTCCCATAAGCTTACATTCATTTAACCTCATTGTTCTTGATTCCTTTCCCTCTAGCTTCAACTGGGCCAGCACCCCCCAGTCCACAGCTTGCTGATGTTGGCTTTTCTAACAGTCCTTGTTTTAGATCCTTTCCCCTCTACTTTCAGAGCTACCTAATTTCACCAATTCTTAAAACTTTTGGGGATTCTGTAATATAAATTGGGTTGGCTCTTGTCTGGCAGACATAGCCCCTTTTTACCAGAGGTTATGTAAAATTTACTTGCTGTGTTCTCTCTCTCCTTTAGATCATCGAAGGTAACATGAAGGCTCACTTTATTATGGATGATCCAGCAGGAAACAGTTACTTGCAGGTATAGTAGACCTTCCCTGATGTTTCATAGAGATACATTTTCTGATCTTCCTTGAATATGTATCATTTCCCTAGAAACTGAAAGACTTGATTCTAAAAGGACTGCTTTTTACCAAGGAGGCGAAGTTAGAAGATACATAAGGGAGAAAAGAGGGGGGTGGGGGAGAGGATTTTTTTTTTTTTAAGTGTATGTAAAGAAGGAAAAAAAGGGCCAGGCGCGGTGGCTCAAGCCTGTAATCCCAGCACTTTGGGAGGCCGAGACGGGTGGATCACGAGGTCAGGAGATCGAGACCATCCTGGCTAACACAGTGAAACCCCCTCTCTACTAAAAAAAAAAAAAAAACAACTAGCCGGGCGAGGTGGTGGGCGCCTGTAGTCCCAGCTACTCGGGAGGCTGAGGCAGGAGAATGGCGTAAACCCAGGAGGCAGAGCTTGCAGTGAGCTGAGATCCGGCCACTGCACTTCAGCCTGGGCGACAGAGCGAGACTCCGTCTCAAAAAAAAAAAAAAAGGGAAGAAAAGGATACTCTGAGGCTCCTTTTTTACTGTATTCTAGCTCTTGTCCCAGTTCTGGAGTTTTCATTTTGCACATCTGATTATGGAGTGAGGAGAAATGGTGCCTCGTCCAGAGGCCAAGATAGGAAACTGATAGGCTTTAAGTTGACTGAGGAGATAGTCCGGTGATTGATGTGCCTTTAACATTGATTGAATGCTTACCATGGGTCAGGCAAAACTTCTAAGTTCTTTCCAAGATTAAGACCATTGCTATACTTTTTATAAGAAGGTGCAGATATTACAAAATAGGTGGATCGTTCCCTGATTCTGGGGCTGGGGTCTTCCATGCCTGGCGCATGTGGGCTCTGTTGCTACCCACTAGTTCAGTCTAGCCGTGGGAAATTGGAGGCCAATAAAAATAAGAAGAAAAACCCAAAACTCATGATGTTCTTGGGAAAGTGGGAATTGGAAGCTGCCTGCAGGGAGGGGGAGTGGCACGGTGGCACTGATTGTCTGTCCTTGACCTTGCAGAATGTGTATGCACCTGAAGATGATCCTGAGATGAAGGTGGAGCGTTACAAGCGCACCTTTGACCAAAATGAGGAGCTAGGGCTCAATGACATGAAGACAGAGGGCTATGAGGCAGGCCTGGCTTCACAACGGTAGCAGTGGGGGGCTCAAGGGCCAGCGTCCAGTGCTGCTGTTTCTGTAGGTTATTTATTAGTATCAGAAGAAGGCTGGGAGTGTCCTCCCCACCAGCCCTTGCCCATGGTGGGGAGGACATCTGGTCTGGGTCAGACTTTCTAAACAGCTTGTGATGTAAGTGTGAGCCTCTTGTGTTACTTAACCTTATTTTGGAAGTTTTGAATTGGCCTCGGAGGAAACCCAGAAATGAACCAGGGGTATGTCATTATCACTTTTTTCATAGCAAGTCCTTACCCTCCCTCCACTTAATGCTCTGTCCTCTAAGGTTAGAACTCTGAAGTTGGAGAAGGTGGAATAAAGTTACACCTGGAGTTTGGTTGTTGGTTTCGAGTATATAAAATACTGACTTTCAACAGGAAAGGAGTCTCCTGAGGGGAGACCAAGTCCAGCACAAGTGAAGGAGTTACCATTGAAATGATGACTTTCAAACAGCACTGGCCTCTGTATTGACCCTATCCTTGCTGATATGCTGTTAGAATTCAGCCTCCCAAAGAAAATTTTCCCGCGTATCCACTGTAATTTGGGGATTGCAGCTGGCATTTAATTCATTCCTGCAACAGATGCTTGCTTATCTATGTTATGCCAAGCACACCACAGAACAGAGGACAAAATAAATCTCTTTCATTGAACTTAAAGTCTAGTGGGAAAAACGACAGTAAACAGATGAGGAAAACAGTACATCAGATGGTGACTAGTGTCATGGAGGAATGTAAAGCAGGGAAGGGGCTGGGTTGTGCAAGGAAAGCGGGAGTAGGGAAGATCTTCTGAACAAGAAGGTGATAATTTGACATTTGGGCAAAGCTGAGGAGGTCAGGGAGTGAGCTGTGTGGGTAGCTGGGGAAAGAGATTTCCTGGCAGAGGGAACTGCAAATGCTAGGGCTGTGAGGTTAGAGCCAGTGGGGGTGTCTGATCAGTTAGCCCCACTCTCAGTTACAAATGTTGAAACACATTCATTCAGAGACAGGAGGCTATCTGCAGTTGTTCCGAAAGTTAAGGACCAGTGAGCACTCTGCTGCTCGGGCCCTGGACTTCCCAGCCAGTGCTCTTTGCACTGTAGTCTCCTGCCTCTCATAAACAAAAGGTGACTCCTGCGGTGCAGACTGCAGGGTATTTGTTCAATAAAGACCAGTTCATTGATTAAGATGTTATCACAAACCTTACTGCTTTGTGTTGCAAACTTCGGGTTTTTTTTTTTTGGTAGAGACAGTCTTGCTCTGTTGCCCAGGCTGGAGTGCAGTGGTGTGATCTCGGCTCACTGCAACCTCTGCCTCCCAGGTTCAAGCAATTCTCCTGCCTCAGCCTCCCGAGTAGCTAGGACTACATGCGCACACCACTACGCCCAGCTAATTTTTTTTGTATTTTAGTAGAGACAGGGTTTCACTGTGTTGCCCAGGCTGGTCTCGAACTCCTGAGCTCAGGCAATCCGCCCGCCTCAGCCTCCCAAAGTGCTAGGATTACAGGCATGAGCCACTGTGCCCAGCCTATTGCAAACTTAACTCTGAAGAATGAGTTAGAGATGACTTAGCAATCAGACATCTACTCTCATTGCTCTGTTAAACTATTCTCATAGGTCACAAGTGATTTTCCAGTTGGAAAAGGTTATCTCTTTCTGTCACTTTTGATAGTGGACCATCTCTTCTTAACCCTTCTCTTGGCTCTCCAGATACTGTACCTTTGGCTTTCCCTTCACTTTGAATCTTTCTTATTTGCACACTTTGCCTCCTCCCTTTTTATTAAATTTGTTTCTGAGAGTTCTGCTTTCAGACATCTCCCTGTATCAGATTCTTTGGCATCTTACTATCATGTGGGACTAACTTCCATACCTGTATCTCTAATTTTCTGTGAGGGTGAGAGTAAGGTGTTTGGAGACTCAGGTTAGCAAATGACTCATTCAAACTATAAAGCTTCAGTACTTTGAGCAAATTTCTCACAGGCAACTATTCTACCCTAAGAGATTATCTCTAGATATGTTTCCAGCTGGCTTGGGAATCTAAGTTTACCAGACAACCCTCTGATCTATCATTTGGTCTCTAGACTTCCCCATAGTGTAGGTGTGCTCTGTTAAGATAAACTGCAGTATCAGGTTCATTTTCCATTGTGAAGGAAAAAAAATGGCACTCTGGCTTACTACTGAATCTCTTGTGAGTTTGATTGATGTGAGGCATTCTCCCAGAATCCACCTAGGAAATGATGACCTGAGTTTCTGAACTTGCAAAGACTAAGGACCAGATGCCAGACCGGGATAACCCAGCTAAGGTACTTCCTGCCCTTTGATGACAAGGCATTATTCAGTTTCATACCCTTCTCTTGAAGTATCTCTCAGCTCCTTTCTCATTTCATAAAGTGTGTCAGGATGGGAGCTTACATATAGTTAACTGAGTCTTGCTCCACAGGCCCTAGCATATGACACATGGTTAATAAAATCTGTTAAAATCCTCCATCCTAGATCAAACCCTATTAGGACACTAGGGGTAACATCTATAGGTAATAAGATAGGGAAAGGGTCTTGCTTTAAAGCCAGGGTAGGTGAGTCAAAGTGCCAAGAACATGTGGATTCAGTTTCACAGCCACGAGTAAAATCTAGGTGGAAAAGTTTTGTGATTGTGTTAAAAAAGGAAAGAGGTTCGTGCGTGAGGGCATGCCTCCTGCTTTCATGGGTCAAGTATGTGAAATGCAGCCATGTTCAGTCATTAGACCTGTGGACAAACATATAGGTAGGTACTGAATGTACATCTGTGTCGTGATGAGTAAGTGGAGGAGCGAGGTGAGTGTTGGGAGCAAGTATGAAGGGCAGTTGACTTGGCCAACTGAAAGCTTTAATGATGGCAACACTTTCATTCTAACATCAGTCTATTTCCTTCTTTGTATACCTGGGGTATGTGCCTGATGCACACTGCAGAAAATGGTGCCTCTGCTTACATTTAGGGCAGTGGTGGTTAAGACTACTTGGCTTTATTCCTATTAAAAATTTTTTTTGGCCGGGCACAGTGGCTCACGCCTGTAATCCCAGCACTTTGGGAGGCCGATGCGGGCAGATCACAAGCTCAGGAGATTGAGACCATCCTGGCTAACATGGTGAAACCCTGTCTCTACTAAAAAATACAAAAAATTAGCTGGTTATGGTGGTGGGTGCTTGTAGTCCCAGCTACTCGGGAGGCTGAGACAGGAGAATGGTGTGAACTCAGGAGGCGGAGCTTGCAATGAGCCGGGATCCCGCCATTGCACTCCAGTCTGGGAGACAAAGTGAGACTCCGTCTCAAAAAAAAAAAAAAAACGAAAAAACACTTTTTTTTAAGCACTTCTTTTTAAGGCAAATGGCAGTGTTTCCAACTGTGAAGAGAAAAAAACTGCTTATTTTGTGTGTTCACCTCAGTTTAGTATTGGCACTTCCAATGCTTGTTTTCCTAGTCTGTAAAATGGGGATAATTAAGATAAATAAAATTATCCCCATTTTACAGGTGACAGAACAGCCTCACAGAGGCTAGGTAACTTCCAGAAGGAAGCAGAGCTTTTTTTTTTTTTTAGAGACGGAGTCTCACTCTGTTGCCCAGACTGGAGTGCAGTGGCATGATCTCGGCTCCCTACAACCTCTGCCTCCCAGGTTCAAGCGATTCTCCTGCCTCAGCCTCCTGAGTAGCTGGGACTACAGGTGCGTGCCACCATGCCTGGCTACTTTCTGTATTTTTAGTAGAGATGGGGTTTCACTATGTTGGCCAGGCTGGTCTTGAACTCCTGACCTCGTGATCTACCCACCTCGGCCTCCCAAAGTGCAAGGATTACAGGCGTGAGCCACCATGCCTGGCCAGAAGTAGAGTTTCTAAGAGGCAGGTGTCAAACCCAGGCCAGACTCTGAAACCTGAGCTCTGAATATTTTGAGCTCAACTCCACAGTGACTGTATTTGTTCTATTAGAGACAACTGCAGAGAGAGGCCAAAGCTCAGAGCAGGCCACTGGCACTGGCATCTGATCCTGCTTAACTGCCCTGCAGCGTAGGATGGAGACACTTGGGTCTTGTCAGGCTAAGGGATGGGGTAGGATGGCTAGTGGTGGAATTGAAGAAAACAAATGGGCAGAAGGTGGCTGGGTGGAAGTTGAGAGGGCTATCCTGGCAGTGTTCACTGGAGAAGTGTGAGGCTTTCTGAATGCCTGCTGACACCAGGGTGGGGCAGGGCTGTGCAGTGCAGTGCAGTGTGAGATACACCAAATTGGACTAGAAGCCAAGGCAGGGTTGTGTAGGGGGTACCCCTGGGGCCCTCCACCTAGTGAAGCCCTATCAGCCCAGTGGCCTCTCACCAGCCCTCAGAGCCCCAGCCAGTTTTCCTTTCTGGGCCTGTACTGCAACCCCCTCAACATGGCCCACTGGGTAAAAATTCATGCTTCAAGACTGATCCCCAAGCCTGTTTTATATTATATGAGTAAAGAATTTTTAAACACTTATCCCCAGATAATGTGTATTTATGAAGTATAGCCCTATCTGCTTGACTAATGTATTAAAACTGTCCTTTTTGACTCCTGGTCCAAGAAACTATTGTCTGCGCTTCTGTGTAGTTGTGTATAGCATCCTGCAAATTCTGTCAGAAGTCTGTGTTTTCAGTAACACTAAAACTTCTCTCTCAAATGATACAAATTTTCAGCTTTAAGACAAGTTATGGGGAATGAATGTACAACATATTGACTATAGCTAATAATTCTGTATTGTTTACTTGAAGCTTGCTAAGACAAATTTAAGTGCCCCCCACCAAACTAGTACATAAATAAGTCTAGTGAAGGATGTTTTAATTAATTTGATTTTGGTAATCATTACACAATGTATAATTATATCCAATCATCACATTGTACACCTTGAATATATATAATTTTTGTCAAATAACCTTAATAAAGCTGGGAAGAAAACGATAAAAAAGTGACAATCTAACATATGATAAGGTAAAAAGATATTTCAAGAAATTTGGATGACCTCTTGCACCCCACTTTGCTAGCCTCTACTCCCAAGAGTCATGTTCTGGCTATGTGAAGTTGAGCAACTTCTTAATCTTGCCAAGCTTCAGTTCTTATCTGTAAAATGTGATATTGAAACGATTTGAGAATTGTGAGGGTTAAATGAGATAATTCAGGTAAAGCTCTAAAACCCCTGCCAAGAATAAAGTCTTTTCTTCCCCCCCAAAACTTGAGTATTAGAATTCATTCTCTCTGGTTTCTCTCTTTTGCTATGCTAAAAATAGATCCAGGTCCTTTTCATTGTCAAGATTTTAGTTTCCTTCAAAAGATAACTGCGAGCTACTTGTAATATAACACCAGAAGAGTTATACAGGTCTTAGAAACTACGTTTTTCATAGTAATTATGTTGGTTTGCACTTCCTGGCTTCCCTTCTCAGACGGTAGGTACCTGGAAGCCTAGTGGAGCAGATTCTCCCCACTTGAAGATACTTATAAAAATAACGAACATAGTTCCGATGACCATATGCCCACCATATGCCCAACACTGCTCTGCGCACTTCACACAGTAGTGTCATCTCAGCCTGTGACCATTCCGAGTTAGGTGCCGGGATTCTCCCCGCTTTGTGATAACTTGCCCGAGGTCGTACAGCTAGCCAGCTATGGAACCAGTATTCAAACTCGGCTACGCTGCAGCCTGTGGCCCTCCACTTTCTTGCCCGTGCTCTGCAGTTTAGGTAACCTCTGGGGGCGGGGTCTTTTGGGTCAGGTTGTGGCCTCACAGAACAGCGCTTGCTGCGGTTGGATGGATGGGTGGGTGGGTGGATGAAGAGAAGAAACCTGGTGGCGTCGTCCCAGGGCTGTGGAGCGCCCCGAAGGTGAGCGCATCCCCCGCGAGGGCACCTGCCAGTCGCGCAGTTCTCAGCACTCTCCGCCACTTCCGGCCCTGGCCCCGCCCCCTCGGGTGGCTGGCGTCCGTTACGCGTTGAGGAATTTTGTCCCCAGCGCCGACCCGTCTCTGCCCTCGCCGCTGCCATGGCGGCAGCTCCGCCACTTTCCAAGGCCGAGTATCTGAAGCGTTACTTGTCCGGGGCAGATGCCGGCGTCGACCGGGGGTCTGAGTCCGGTCGCAAGCGTCGCAAAAAGCGGCCGAAGCCTGGCGGGGCCGGCGGCAAGGGGTGAGTTGGTACCGGCCGGGGCGGGGCCTGCAACGACTCGCCACCCCTCACCCTTCCCAACTCCGCCCTCGGTCGCCTGGCGACTTCTTCCCTCTTGGCGGGTCTCCCGGCTTCTCCGCCGACCCCTGCTCATGCCCAGGGCCCCACTCACATCGCTTGAGGCCCCGCATTGCCTCTGCCGCCCCGCTTACACCTCGAGCCTCTGAGCAGTAGCGTCAGTGCGTTAGAGCCCGGCTGTAACTTTGATTACTCTTTTCCCGCCTTGGTAGACTTCCGTCCTCTCCCATGGAGAATGAATATTGCGCCCCGAGAATAATGGAGCGGATTCAAAGCCTCTGTGCTTGAATCTTTAGGGCCCGGTACCTGCCTGTGGGGATTCCCAAATCCCAAGGACTTGGTTCTGAATCAGAGACCTTGGATCACCTCCTGTTACTCTTAGTAATAGTCCTACTAACAAGAGAAGTTAACATTTACATAATTATACTTTTCTTGCCAGGCAACATTATAAGAAATTTAAACATAAGTTTGTTTAAGCCTTACAACAGTACCATGAACTGGGTATTATTTTCAAATGGGAAAACTTTGTGGCCCAATATAGTGGGCCCTACCAAATCGTTTTCCACCCAGAACCACAGAATGTGACATTTAGAAATAGGGTCTTTGGAGATGTAATCAGTTAAGATGAAGTCATACTTGATTAAGGTGGGTGCCAAATACAAAATGACTGTTTTCCTTTTAAAAAGAGGGAAGTATGGATACAGACACAGCAACAAAGGAAAAACGACCATGTCTAGATGAAGGCTGAGATTGGATTGGATTTATGTTGCCAAAAGCCAAGGTATGCCTGGGGCTACCAGAAGCTGGGAGAGGCAAGGAAAGATCCTTCCCTACCGACTTTGCAGGGAGGATGGCCTTGCAGACACCTGGATTTCAGATTGCTAGCTTCCAGAACTGTGAGAGTTTCTGTTGTTTTATGCCACGCAATTTTGTGGTACTTTGTTACAGTAACCCTAAGGCACTAAGATACCCAGTGAAGTCACATTGTTCTAAAGAACTAGTCCATGTTGTTTTCTGGTTTGGTGCTTGCCTTATTATTGTCCTCGTCTTTCTGCTTCGCTGACTTGTGTGGATCCTTTGGAGGCAGTGCCATGTGATGAAAGTAGCTTGAGTGTTGGAGCAGCACTGGTCAGAGTTCGAATCCTAGCTGTGCCACTTTATAGGCTGTGTACCCTTGGGCAAAGTGTTTCATCTCACTGAACTGCAGTTTCCTTATCTTTAAAATGGGAATAATACTGAATAATAATGCTTTTATGAAGTGGTGGTTGTGATTAGAGGGATTGCATTAAGTGACCCTGGCTTTTTGAATAACTTCACATCATGGCAGTCATGGTTATTATTGGGGCTCAACTATAGTTTATCCATGTAACAAGCATTTATTGAATACACTGTATTCCAGTTACTGAGGATGCCTCTGTGAACAAAAAGAAACATAGTCCCTGTTCTTGTGGAGCTTATAGTTTAGTGGGAATACAGGCTTTAAGCAACTAATTACACAACTAATTGGTGTATTTTCTTTATGATAAATGCAATGAAAGTATTCCAAGAGTTTTTAACAAGAGTTCTTAGTCTTTTTTTTTTTTTTTTTTTTTTGAGACAGAGTCTCACTCTGTCCCCCAGGCTGGAGTGCAGTGGCATGATCTCAGCTCACTGCAAGCTCCAACTACAGGGTTCACGCCATTCTCCTGCCTCAGCCTCCCAAGTAGCTGGGACTACAGGCACCCGCCACCACACCTGGCTAATTTTTTGTATTTTTAGTAGAGACAGGGTTTCACCATGTTAGCCAGGTTGGTCTCGATCTCCTGACCTCATGATCCACCTGCCTCAGCCTCCAAGTGTTGGGATTACAGGCGTGAGCCACTGGGCCCGGCCGGGTCCGTGGTCTTGAGTGAGTGTGAGATAGTGGGGGAATCCGGGAAGCAGTCAAGAAAAGTTTGCCAGACTGGGTGCGATGGCTCTCGCCTGTAATCCCAGCACTTTGGGAGGCCGAGGCGGGCGGATCATGAGGTCAGGAGATCAAGACCATCCTGGCTAACACGGTGAAACCCCATCTGTACTAAAAAAATACAAAAAATTAGCCGGGCATAGTGGCAGGCGCCTGTAGTCCCAGCTACTCGGGAGGCTGAGGCAGGAGAATGGCACGATCCCGGGAGGCGGAGCTTGCAGTGAGCTGAGATTGTGCCACTGCACTCCAACCTGGGCGACAGAGCAAGACTCCGTCTCAAAAAAAAAAAAAAAAAAGTTTGCCAAAGGAAGTTAAATTTGTGTTAGGACCTGAAAAATGAGGAAGAGTTTCCTGGAATGAGGAAGAGTTTCCTAGCACTTTGGGAGGCCAAGGCGGGTGGATTGCTTGCATATAGGAGTTTGGGACCAGTCTGGGCAACATGGTTAAACCCTGTTTCTACAAAAAATTAAAAAAAAAAAAGTCAGGCACAGTGGCACATGCCTGTAGTCTCAGCTACTTGGGAGACTGAGTGGAGAGAATAACTTAACCCCAGGAAGTCAAAGCTGCAGGGAGCCATGATGGTGCCCCTGCACTCCAGCCTGGGCCACAGTGTGAGACCCTGTCTCAAAAAAGAAAAAGATTGAGAAGTGTAGATCAGGCAGAGGGAAGGAACTGCATATGTGAAAACTGATGTGGTAGTAACTTGGCTCCTTCCTAGGCACCAAAGGATGACCCAGGGAGGTGTTCAACCAAGGAAGTAGCAGTAGGAGATTAAGATGACCTTGAAGACAAAGACTGGACCATGCAGGATCCTGTAGGATTTTGAACTTTTATTTTAAAACCAATAGATAAGTGTTTTTAGGCTGGTATCCTAGAATGACTCTTTTTGATCATCTTCTTCTCATTTAGAATGCGGATTGTGGATGATGATGTGAGCTGGACCGCTATCTCCACAAGTAAACCAGAAAAGGAGGAAGAGGAAGATGATGGAGATTTGCCTGTGGTATGTATCTTTGGGGCTCTCAGGATTTTGAAATGAAGCAAGCTTCTCAATTTTTTTTTTTTTTTTTCAGACGGAGTCTCACTCTGTCTCCTGGGCTGGAGTGCAATGGCGTGATCTTGGCTCACTGCAACCTCCACCTCCTGGGTTCAGGCGATTCTCCTGCCTCAGCCTCCTGAGTAGCTGGGACTACAGGCACCCGTCGTCATGCCCGGCTAATTTTTTTTTTTTTTGTATTTTTGTGGAGACGGGGTTTCACCATGTTGGCCAGGCTGGTCTTGAACTCCTGACCTCAGGTGATCCACCTACCTTGGCCTCCCAAAGTGCTGGGATTACAGGTGTGAGCCACTGTGCCAGGCCAGGCTTCTCAATTTCTTTTCCCAGCTCAGGGTAGATTTGTAGGGGGTTAGTTGAGAACAGAAAAGAGGTGACAGTTTCCAAAGAGCTGTTTAAAATAGTTTTCTTTGCTGATGCCTATACACCAACTCCTCTCTTTATGGAGGGCCCATCAGCCTAGAAATGAGACGGATCACAGAGAGAGGACTTCTCAACATCAGTGATAGAGTAATGATGTGAATTGGCTGTGGTTCAGTTTGTTGGAATCTTCCTTAAAAACAATGCTGAGGTTCAATTATAGGGAACTTTTTATTTGCTCCTTTTTTTCATTGATTTAACCAAACTTTCAAATTATATATTCTTGCCTAAGTACTGGAGATATGTAGATTAATAGAACATAGCTATATTTTAGAGTTTATACCCTGGAATGGAAAACAATTTCAAATAAATTTCAACAGTATGGTAAATGTTGGGGATATTTCACATATGTACCAAGTACCACTAGAGCCCAGGGGAGGTAGCATACTTTGTATTCTGTTGGGAGATCTCCTGAAAGATGTAAATATTGAGTTTTGAAGGATAAATAAGAGCCAGGTGGACAAAATCATAGGCAAATGACCTTCCAGTGGTTCATGAAACCATTGCTGAGAATTTCTGAGAAACAAAGTGGAAAGGAGAGCTGTTGATAGGCTGAATTCCACTAAAGGTGGTAAAGATGGATTCCAGATGAGTATTTAACATGAATTCCCAGCAAAATTCTAAAATAGATTATTTAAAAGAGGGCTTGCTAGTAATTAGAAGGGAAATAGTGATCTTAGGGAGCCAATTTAGTTTTGGTCAGAACAAATAAATATTAACAATGTTTGTTGTTATTTTTTAATTTTATGAAAGCAATGCATGTTTATTACAGAATATTTGGGAATTGTAAAAAGTTTAAAGTTTTTAAAAGAATAACCACTTATATTGTGACCATCCAAAGGTAACTGCTGATATTTGGATGCATATCTCTTCAGGTTTTTCTCTTTAGAGATTATACATGCTTGTGTTTTATTTTTTTGAACATAATTGGGATCATACTGTACATATGGTTTTGGAGTCTACTCTTCTGCTAAATAATATGTTTTGGATACTTTGGTAAGACCTTAAAATATTCTTTGAGTGTATGATTTTTATTGGTTATGTAGTAGTTTACTATATATATTTAATCTGTTCTATTACTGGTTACATGAACTGTTTCCACTTTTAAAATATCATACATCATTGTACATAAATCATTTGTAGAAATCAGTTACTTTCTTTATTCCCATAATATGAAATGAATGGATCAAAGGGTATGGTTCTTTTTAGTTATATTCCCATATTGCTTTCCAAAAGGTGCTACCAGTTTACACTCCCACTAGAGGTAATGAGAATGCCAGTTCACCTACGTCGTCAATATTATTATTATTATTTTTGAGACAGGGTCTTGCTCTGTTGCCCAGGCTGAAGTACAGTGGTGTGATCATGGCCCATTGTGGTGTGATCATGGCCCATTGTAGCCTCTGCCTCCCAGGTGCAAGCAGTCCTCCTACCGTAGCCCCACAACTAGCTGATACCAAAGGTGCGCACCTCAATGCCTGGCTAATTTTGTGTATTTTTTGTAGAGATGAGGTCTCTGTGTTGCCCAGTCTGGTCTTGAACGCCTGGGCTCAAGTGATCCTCCCGCCTCGGCCTCCTAAAGTGTTGGGATTACAGGTGTTAGCCACATGCCCGGCTGATATTAAAGAATTATTAACAAAACAAAACCAATAGCAAACCTATGCCGATTTAGCAAGTGAGTAATGGTATCCATTTCTTTTTTTTTTTTTCCTGAGACGGAGTCTTCCTCTGTCGCCCAGGCTGAAGTGCAGTGGTGCAATCTCAGCTCACTGCAAGCTCCGCCTCCCGTGTTCACGCCATTCTTCTGCCTCAGCCTCCGGAGTAACTGAAACTACAGGCTCCTGCCACCATGCCCGGCTAATTTTTTGTATTTTTAGTAGAGATGGGGTTTCACCATGTTAGCCAGGATGATCTCGATCTCCTGACCTCGTGATCCACCTGCCTCGGACTTCCAAAGTGCTGGGATTACAGACGAGAGCCACCGTGCCTGGCCCAGTTTCTTCGAACACTAGTGAAATGAATCATTTTTTATATGTTCATTAGGCTTATGTTGTAGGTGTATTTTATCATTTGCCTTTTCACTTACTTCATAATAGTTTTTATTTATTATTTATTTTTTTTCAGACAGATTCTCGCACTGTCACCAATGCTGGAGTGCAGTGGCTCGATCTTGGCTCACTGCAGCCTCTGCTTCCTGGGTTCAAGCGAACCTCCTGCCTCAGCCTCCCGAATAGCTGGGATTATAGGCGCCTGCCACCATGCCCAGATAATTTTCGTGTTTTTAGTAGAGACGGGGTTTTTCCATGTTGCCCAGGCTGGTCATGAACTCCTGGGCTGAAGCGATCCACCCGCCTCAGCCTCCCAAAGTGCTGGGATTACAGGAATGAGCCACTGCACCTGGCCATTTTCTTTTATGATATTGTCTTGCTTTTATCATGGCCCAAAAACCTAAACAAAGGAGACTTTAGTGCCACTGCTCTCTGCATTGGTTAAAACAGATCTTGATTATTGAATTCATTTTTGTAACTGCAAGATCACCACCACCACCACTAGTAATAATGGCAAAATGATTATGATGATTATGATAGCAGTGACAGCACAGGAATAACTAATAGGTGTAATTTATTGAGCATTTATCATTTACCACGCAGGGCTAAGCTTACGTGAATTATCTCATTCGATCCTTATAGCAATCCTTTGAATCCCACTTTTACAAATGAGGAAATTGAGGCTTAGAATAATTTACCAAAGGTTACACAGATGCTAAGTGGCAGAACTGGGGTTTAGATCTTAATTCATCTTGCCTGAAACCTGTGCTTTTAATGCTCAGTGAGAGATCTCAAAACTGGGTTATATGAAGAATGATGGTAGGATTTTCGGAGAAGTAGAGGGCTGTTACGACCTGGATTTAAATTCCAGTTCTGCCACTTGTTAGCTTGTGATATTGAGAAAGTTACTTAACTTCTCTGAGTCAGTTTGCTATTCAGTAGTGTGGAGCCTTTCTTTGCAGGGTTATTGTGAGAATCGAGTTAGATTATATGAGTAAAACACAAAACACAGTACCTTGCACATAGTTGCTTCTCTGTAACTAGGATTTATTATGCCATCATTCTTTGAAAATTTGTCATGTGGAAAAGGGATCAGTTGCATCAGAGGTCAGAACTAGAATCAATTCAAAGAAGTTATAGGAAGGTAGAGATGAGACCAGTAAAACTAAGAACTTTCTAACATTTTTGAAAAATGCAGTGGACTGCGTTGTAAGATAATGAGGTCCTTGTCAGGAAGGGATTGGGTGAGTGGCCATTTATTAGGAATACTATAGAGAAGATTCTGATTCGTTCGGAAGTTTGGAAGATAAGAAATGTGGTTTTAGCTCTTAAAGATTAATGATTCTGTGTACATCTCAGTGGCTGTTTTTGGTTGTATTCAAGAAAATCTATTATTGTGACTACCTACAACAAGAAAGGTTTCATAGAAACCCAAAGTCCTTGATTAGTGCTAGGCATGATGGGGGGCCACCGATGTTTTCACTCTTAATGTAGAAGTAAAAGTGTATAGGAATTTAGTGTTAGCTTACAAGTGGCTGTTGTGTACCTAGCAGGTTAATAAAAAGGTTTGTAATGAAAGAAATTAACCTTTGCGGGGAAATTGAATTATCCAACTAATACAGTGACAATCAGGTGCTTATGGAGCTAGCATAACTGAAGACCCCTACTTATTTCTTCATGACCATGTTGGATATGTGTGCGCCCTTAGGTTAGGAATCGGAATGGTTGTAACTTCAGGTTCTTGAGACAGTGCTTCTTGGCTGGATCCTGTGGATTTCCTCAGCATAGGAAATCTTTACTCCCACAGGTGGCAGAGTTTGTGGATGAGCGGCCGGAAGAGGTAAAGCAGATGGAGGCCTTTCGTTCCAGTGCCAAATGGAAGCTTCTGGGAGGTGAGTTCCAACAGTAGATAAATCTAAATCTCCATTAGTAGGGGAGGTCTTTTTTTCTTTTCTACACTTTTCTTTTAGAGGAATGCATAGTTTTTTTTAGCATGTCATTGATCCTGAAAAATAAAGCAGGAAAAAGGAAGCTGGACTTCTTCAGAAGTAGTAAGACATAGGAACTTAGAGACCAGATATTCCTCTTTCTCTTGTATTTTGGCATTAGGGTTACTGAGGTTGGTGACTAATTTGGAGGCCTGTGAGCACCCATTCCTCTGACTCAGAATAGGAGAGCCCTTGGTATATAGGCAAGACTTTGGGAGGAGTTTACAAGAAACAGGAACAGAATTTGGGGACTTTAGCTACCACTGTCCTCTTCCACAATGAAGCAACTCATTTCTGGGGGGGTCAAGGACCAATGTTTTTTGTTCTGTTTGTGTTAGTAAATTTCTCTCTTCTTTCCTTAAATATTGGTATTTTATAGTGCATTACCCTCCACCTGCCCACTTTAGACTCTTCCTAAGCTAATATTTATAACTTAACTCTCTTGAAAAAAATTTGAGTCCTTGAGACTTGGATAAAAAGTGTTTGTGTGTCACATCTGTTTGAGCATAGACTGGTCTTATTTGCCATGATAGTCCCCTGTCTGGCACAAGGAGCTGCCTTTAATAAATATCTGTAGAATTGCTTAATTGCTAGTAGGCATTTGATTTTTGTAGCCTAACCAGAATTCTTTTCCAAAGAGAGTCTTTTGGTCTCCATATCTTGTTTGTCTAGGAAGACATACAGACACACACACACAGTGCTTTTCGGTATCTGAATGTTTAGAAAGTCACACACACTCACTCACTCACTCACTCACTTACTCCTTTTCTTCTGCCTTGCTTTCACTTCCTCATCCCAATCTGTTACTGGAAATACGTTTACCAATCTCTGACCCTTACTTCCTTCAGATTTACTGTTAGGCCCCCCACAGACATCATACTTTTCTCTGTGGAGTGGATTCCAATCAGATAGGCCTGTTCCCCAAAGTAAAGGAGTTGACTTGGTTTAATTCATTCATTTAGCAAGTATTCATTGGTTCCTGCCCAGCCTTTATTTTTATTTGGGCTATGGGGCTCAATGACAAGAGATAGAGGTAGAGGAAGAACTGGATTTTGAAACCATTCCAGATGCTATAGATGTTTCATTCTGTGGTGCCTTTGAAAATGGAAGGTCTCAAACTTGTATTTTAACTTTAAAGATTTACGTATTTTAAAGATTGCATATGGACTCTGGAGTCAAATAGAGCTGAATTTAAATATTCCTCCACCACTTATTAGCAATATGACTTTGGCAAGTTAATCTTTCTGAGTATTAACTTCCTCATCTATAAAATGGAAATGACAATATTTATGTCCTAGGCTTATGAGAATTGAATCAGGTAATCTCTATAAAACATTGGCACACAGTAGGTGATTGGTAATTACTTGCTCCTTTCTTTTTTTGTGATTTTTTCTGCTCTCTAACAAAGAGCACAGTGAAATGGATTAAATAGTTAACAGCATTTGATTTTGATACTCACCGTTTTAGTCAATTTACCTTTTGAAAGAGGAGTGAGTACAAACTATAAAGTATCTAGGCAAAATATCAGTAGGAGCCACTAGCTGGGAACTCTGCACAAATGAGGTGTTAGAAAGAACATTGGACTGGGAGTTAGAAGACTTGGATTCTAGCCTGTGTCTTCATCTTAGTAGCTGTGACCTTGGGTAAGAAATCGCTCAGCTCCTCAGCTGAAAACAGAGGCTCTGTTCATAATACAAGGGTACCTGCCCTGCTTACCTTAAAGGGTATAATATGAAAAATGTACTGAAAATGCTTTGCAAATTTATGACTTGGTAGGTGGAGGGGTTATTCTTAAGATATTCAGAGTGGTGATTTGCTGCCGCTAAGCAAGAAAACTGTGCAGGCCTTTTGGGCTTTTTGAGCAGTTCTGAGGTATGTGCTGCTGGAGCATGTCTTGAAACTGGGTGTGGGGGTGGACAGAGGGACAGAGCATTTGTGGGAATCTGACTCTTTGTTTTTTGTGTTTAGGCCACAATGAAGACCTACCCTCACACAGGCATTTTCTTCACGATACCCTAGATTCATCTCCTAGGAGAGTCCGTCATGATACCCCAGATTCATCTCCTAGGAGAGTCCGTCATGATACCCCGGATTCATCTCCTAAGAGGGCCCGTCATGACACCCCAGATCCTTCTCCCCTCAGAGGGGCTCGTCATGACTCAGACACATCTCCTCCCAGGAGGATCCGTCATGACTCCTCAGACACTTCACCTCCAAGGAGGGCCTGTCATGATTCTCCAGATCCTTCTCCTCCCAGGAGGCCTCAGCATAATTCTTCAGGTGCATCTCCTAGGAGAGTCCGTCATGATTCACCAGATCCCTCTCCTCCTAGGCGAGCCCGTCGTGATTCCTCAGATATCTCTACCACCAGAAGGGTCCATAACAACTCCCCTGACACATCTAGGAGGACTCTTGGCTCTTCAGACACACAGCAACTCAGAAGGGCCCATCATGACTCCCCTGATTTGGCTCCTACTGTCACTCATTCCCTACCCAGAACCAAAAGTGGTAAAGCCCCAGAAAGAGCCTCTAGCAAGACTTCTCCACCTTGGAAGGAGTCAGGAGCCTCCCATTCGTCACTCCCAAAGAACAGCAAATATGAGTATGACCCTGACCTCTCTCCTCCACGAAAAAAGCAAACAAAATCCCATTTTGGAGACAAGAAGCAGTTTGATTCCAAAGGTGAGCATATGACTGTCCATGAGAGGGACATATGTATCCCTGGGAGCTTTCTTTTGGCCCTTTACTTGTTTTATTAGGTATGAGAATGGAGTTTCTTTGGGAAAGTTTTGAAAAGTGAGAGGCTGGGTTTGGGAGAGTTAAAGGATTATGGTGGCAGGAGGAAGGTTTTCATGTATCTTTTTACGTACTCGCCCCACCCCATAGAAAAGTACAATTTATTTGTTGCAGAAGCTTTAGAATGTACAGAAGTGTATAAAGATAAAATGTGACACAAAATTCTGTCATTCAGAGGCAATTAGTGTTGTAGCCAGGACCATCTTAGTCTTTTTTGGTTTGCCTTTTTTATATAGTTGAGTTCTGGCTATGTAGAACATTTGTATTGCATGTGCAATCTTGCCTGCTCTCCTTTCTTAACAGTCTTCCTCAGGCCATAAAAACATCTTTATGTTAGTATTTTTAATAGTGTTTCATTACATAAATTTAACCATTTTCCTAATAAAGAATGTTTTTGGTTATTTCTAAGTTTTTGCTTCTGTAATTCTATAATGAACATCCTTGTACATAAACTGTTGTCCCCATTTTGGATTATTTCCTTATCTACTTCTAGATAGATTTCCTGGAAATTCAACTACTTCTATATAGGTTTCTCAGAAAGCTGAGAAGTTGATGTACTGGGTCAGAAGATGTGGCCGTTTTAAAGACTGTCGATACATATTGCAGAATGCTCTTTGGGAGGTGACTTGTGATGCTTATACAGTCACTAGAATTTAGGCCTGTGCAGTTAAATTTTTTATTCCCTCTTTTGTTCCCAGGAACTATTTTAATTTTAAATTAAAGCACTTTGTTATCCTTTAGTCCGAGGATATCAGAATATAATTCTAGGTATTTCTGACTTTTGCCACACTATGGAGAGCTGTCTTTCCATGAGTGGGGTTACTGACATAGAGGAGTGTGTGGAGATCTTACACACCAGTTACAGTCAGTGGTCACTTGGGAATAGAATGCCATCTTCTACCTATTGGTCTTAAAAGTTGTTTCTGACTTTGCTCTTCTCCTATGTCATCCATAGTTATGTTTAGGTTAATGATAATTCTTCATAGAAAAACTAAATAAATATTGTACATTAGCTTGGTAAGTTATTTTCTTAGATTCTTCCAAGGGGATTAAAGAACTCTTTGGCCAGGCATGGTGGCTGAAGCCTGTAATCCTAGCACTTTGGAGGCCGAGGCAGGCGAATCACCTCAGGTCAGGAGTTCAAGACCAGCCTGGCCAACATTGGCGAAACCCCATCTCTACTAAAAACACAAAAATTAGCTGGGCGTGGTGGCACACACCTGTAATTCCAGCTGCTTGGGAGGCAGAGGCACAAGAATTGCTTGAACCCAGGAGGCGGAGATTGCAGTGAGCTGAGATCACGCCACTGCACTCCAGCCTGAGACTCTGTCTCAAAAAATAAAATAAAATAAAATAGAAGGAATTCTTTAATTTCTAGGTTCTTCTCCCAGCCATAGGAGATTTCATGTAAGTTCTTCACCCAGGGGACATCAGAGTCACACAGATTCTTTGCTCCTATCCAGGTGACTGCCAGAAAACAACTGATTCAGACCTTTCTTCTCCATGGCATAAACAAAGTCCAGGGCACCAGGATTCCGATTCAGATCTATCACCTCCACGGAATAGACCTAGACACCGGAGCTCTGATTCTGACCTCTCTCCACCAAGGAGGAGACAGAGGACCAAATCTTCTGATTCTGATCTGTCCCCGCCTCGAAGGAGTCAGCCTCCTGGAAAGAAGGTCAGGATTTTCAGGAGCCATGTCCTTCTTTTTGTGTGACTCTTCTCTCTCAGTTTTATGTATGTCCCAGATAAGCCAAGAAGAATGATGTAGCTCTTAGAAGTGTAGTAAATCTTAGTTAAAAGGACCTTTGGAGGTCTTTCTTTCTGAAGGCAAACTGGCTATAACCCATCCCGGATGGACTTACAGATACCAGATTTCCCAAGTAGCTTCTGCTTTTATAGCCTCTTAATTCTACAATCTCATTTTAACAGGTCCAGAAAAGCTTCCTATTTTCTTAGGAATAAACTGGGGACTGTAATTTGCAGAGTGGAGTTTGGAGCACAAACATTGTGTCAAACGGATCATATGGCAAGATGCTTAATATCTCTAAACCTCAGTTTCTTTATCTGTAAATTGTGGATAATAGTAGTACCTACTGTGTAAGGTTGTTATGATAATTAAGCCAGTGTAAGTAAAACTCTTAGCACAGTGTCTGGGACAAAGTAAGTATCTAGTGTTAGTGATTTACTACTATAAATTGGACTATAGGTCTCTGTATCCAGAACTTAAGAACAGACACTTAAAATATGAAACCACTTTTAGAAATCATGTTGTCCGAAAGGTCAATGTTTTGTTTTGAATTCATGATAAAGCTTGATGAATTAGTCAAAAAACCCAAAAATCCATATGAACCCTGAGTAATTATATTGTAAAGAACATTGGTAGTAGTAAAGGAATCTTATTTGTGAATGGTTAAGAAACAGAATGATAGAGGCTGTGATGTGCATTTTTCTCCCCAGTGCAGACTTATCGGGTAAATCCTGTCTGTAGAAAACTCTGAGAAGACTGGTCCTGGCAGGGTAGACCAGCTTGTTCTTTACCCAGGGAGTGAAATTCTCCTCTTTTAGGGAAAAAAGAGGTCTCTGTTTCAGCTGGACCCCTTGACATTTTATATATCTGTTTAGTTCATGGACAACTTAATATTAGTCCAATTTGGTTGCTTAAGGATATCAGGATATACTGTGTGCTTCATTCGTGGGCTGGTTTGCTATCTTGATACTAAGTGGAAATTAGCAAAAAGTTTTCATTTGGTTAGATCTTTTGTTATTACCCTGAAATATATCCACAATTTAAGGATCTTAGGTTTGCTTGAGTTTGTACTGTAAATGGAATATTTTATCAGTGTTGGTCTCTAATGGAAGGCTTAGTGCTTTATACTGGTTTCTGATCAGATGACCTGAGAGAATCTTCATGTGTGCAGTTTATATTCTGAAAAGTCAGAAATGCAAATGTGTAGCTCTCCCTTTAATATATTGTTAGTTTGTGTTTCTGCTTACTCTTAAACTTGATGGTTTTGATGAAATTTGATTTTCTTTTATAGTTTTTGAATCCTATGGTAATTAATGAGAATATAAAGCTAGAGTTTGAGGTTTAATTATTGCTGGTCATCAGACACAAATGCAACTAACTGTGTACCCGTGGAGCCTACTGCCACATCATCTCATTAATGTTGGATGCTCCCTTTTCCATTGCATAGGCTGCACACATGTATTCTGGGGCTAAAACTGGGTTGGTGTTAACTGACATACAGCGAGAACAGCAGGAGCTCAAGAAACAGGATCAAGAAACCATGGCATTTGAAGGTAAAAATATGAAAGTGCAGAGACCAATCCAGGCTCATTTTTTTTTTTTTAATTTAGCTTATTGTACCTGGTATTTTAAACTTTTAATTGCTATCAAATTTCAGCTCTGGTTTTATGCATGGTTGTAATTTCTCAGTGAGTCCCAGTGTTTCTTTCCTTCTTGAAAAATGCCATTTCGCCCAGGCGTGGTGACTCATTGTAATTCCAGCAATTTGGTAGTCCGAGGCGGGTGGATCAGCTGAGGTCTGTAGTTCGAGACCAGCCTGGCTAACATGATGAAACCCCGTCTCTACTAAAAATAGAAAAAAACTAGCCAGACGTGGTGTTGCATGCCTGTAATCCCAGCTACTCAGGAAGCTGAGACAGGAGAATCGCTTGAACCCGGGAGATGGAGGTTGCGGTGAGCCAAGATCGCGCCACTGCACTCCAGCCTTGGCAACAGAGCGAGACTCCATATCAAAAAAAAAAAAAAAAGAAAAATGCCATTTCTCGGGCCCAGTGCCAATATGCACCTAGATGTTGGTAGGAACTACTTTGGTCTGGCTGCAGAAGTTCTTATCCAGCATTAGAATCCCAAGTGGTTGATTTGATCTCTTAGAATGTTATTTCTGATTTTGATCCTGATATTTGAGTATAATTTTCCTTTGCAGCTGAATTTCAATATGCTGAAACCGTATTTCGAGATAAGTCTGGTCGTAAGAGGAATTTGAAACTGGAACGTTTAGAGCAAAGGAGGAAAGCAGAAAAGGACTCAGAGAGAGATGAGCTGTATGCCCAGTGGGGAAAAGGGTAAGGGAACCACTGAAAGGGTAAACAAGATGGCAGTGACTGGAACAAGTCATTTCTCTGCTCTTCTTGATCACTCACTTTCTTATTATGCCTTCAGAGCTGTTATCAGTAATGGGAAATTTGGTGTGCTGAATCTTCTTCCTAGGATATTGATATATTCCACACTTCCAGTGGATATTCTGGGAATTTTACCCTGCTCAGTATTTGCCCTAGGGTACTACTAGAAAGAGGAGAGTCTCCAAATTTAGCAGTATGGTCCATCTTGTGTAGAAGTGGAAATGTCATACAGGATAGCAAACACTCTTGGTTCTTTTTTGCCCAGGCTTGCCCAGAGCCGGCAACAGCAACAAAATGTGGAGGATGCAGTGAAAGAGATGCAAAAGCCTCTGGCCCGCTATATTGATGACGAAGATCTGGATAGGATGCTAAGAGAACAAGAAAGAGAGGGGGACCCCATGGCCGACTTCATCAAGAAGAATAAGGCCAAGGAGAACAAGAATAAAAAAGGTGGGACTTCTGGGAATCATCAGAGCTGGAGGTGACTTGTGAAGAGAGAGAATCATTAGGATTCTGATACATAGCTGTATGCAAGGAAGGATTTCCCAAATAATTTAAATTCATTGTATTTGTGAGTTTAGATTCAACTCAACTGGTCTTTCTATGTGAAAATTTTTCCGGGCCAGGCACGGTGGCTCATGCTTGTAATCCCAGCACTTTGGGAGGCTGAGGTGGGTGAATCACCTGAGGTCAGGAGTTGGAGACCAGCCTGGCCATTGTGAAACCCCATCTCTACTAAAAATACAAAAAACAATTAGCTGGACGTGGTGGTGCACGCTTGTAATCCCAGCTACTTAGGAGGCTAAGGTACGAGAATCGCTTGAACCCAGGAGGCAGAGGTTGCAGTAAGCCGAGATTGTGCCACTGTACTCCAGCCTGGGCAACAGAGTGAGACTCTATTAAAAAAATAATAATAATAATAAAAAATTCCCACATTGCCATCCAGCTCTGAATTAAATTATGTCATTAACTAAATACTTTTTTCTTACTCCTCTCTTTAGTGAGACCTCGCTACAGTGGTCCAGCACCTCCTCCCAACAGATTTAATATCTGGCCCGGATATCGCTGGGATGGAGTGGACAGGTAAGCCTGGGTATTTCTTAGGTTTTTATTTTCTCTTCTACCTGACTGTAACCTTCCCTAACCACTCGTAAGTTGCTCCACACTTTATTTCATTCTCTGCTTTAATCACAAGGTGAAAAATATGCACTTTGCTTGCTTCTATTTCTGAGGTCCACAAATCCTATTTTTCATGCTTGGAACACTCCTCTTTCTGTTTCCTTTTCATAACACTTTTTAAAGCTCTGTACAAACAACTCAGGTGGTTCAGATAAGACACCCTTTGTTTTGGACATTGGTTACTTTTAATGATATTTTCTAAGGTTTAGAGGGGTCGAGTGATGAGTCGTAGTCTGGAGCCTTCTATGTGATATGTCTTTAAAATGTAGCCTCTGAATCTTTCTTCACTTTACGGTCTTAGGAGGCAGTCACTTTTAATGTCTCACGGTCCTCTACCACCTCATCTGTCTACCTACCAGCATCTGTACCCACATGCTCTAACTTCCTGTCTGTTATGATGGATGAACTATATTTGCTTCCATCCAGAGTCAGTTCGTGTACTTACGTATTAGATTCTATCTCCTCTTGCCTACTAAAGGACATTGTTTTAGTATCTAGCACAATAATTCTCAAACTTTTTAATTTCAGGATCCTTTTACACTCTTTTTTTTTTTTTTTGAGATGGAGTCTTGCCCTGTTGCCTGGGCTGGAATGCAGTGGCGCAATCTCAGCTCACTGCAACCTCTGCCTCCCGGGTTCGAGCGATTCTCCTGCCCCAGCCTCCCGAGTAGTTGGGATTACAGGCGCGTGCTGCCATGCCCAGCTATTTTTTATATCTTTAGTAGAGACAGGTTTTCACTATGTTGCCAGGCTGGTCTCGAACTCCTGACCTTAGGTGATACGTCCACCTTGGCCTCCCAGAGTACTGGGATTCCAGGTTTACAGGATTACAGGATTACAGGTGAGCCACCATGCACAACCACTCTTGTTTTTTGTTGTTGTTGAGGCAGAGTCTTGCTCTGTTGCCCAGGCTGGAGTGCAGTGGTGCGATCTCCACTTCCCGGGTTCAAGCAATTCTCATGCTTCTGCGGCCTGAGTAGTTGGGATTACAGGTGTGCATCACCATACCCAGCTAATTTTTGTATTTTTAGTAGAGACGGGGTTTTTGCCACGTTGGCCAGGCTGGTCTTCAATTCCTGGGCTCATATGATCGTCTGCCTCAACTTCCCAAAGTGCTGGGATTACAGGCTTGAGCCACCATGCCTGGCCTACACTCTTAAAAATTACTGATGACCTCAAAAAGCTTTTGTTGATGTGGATTATATATATTGATATTTACCATGTTATAAATTAAAACTCAGACATTTAAAAAGTGTTCATTCTAAAAAATAATAAACTAATTACATTAACATAGTAACTTTTTTTATTATTATACTTTATGTTCTAGGGTACGTATGCACAACATGCAGGTTTGTTACATATGTATACATGTGCCATGTTGGTGTGCTGCACCCATAATTACTGTATTTTTAAATGAAAAATAATTACATTTTCCAAGTGAAAAAATAGAAGGATGGCATTGATTTACATTTTTGCAAATCTCATTAATGTCTGACTTAATAGTAGGTAACTTGACTGCATTTGTCTGCTGTGATATGTTGTTCAGTTGAAGTATAGGAAGAAAATTTAGCCTCACACATAGGTAGTTAGAAAGAGAAGGCATATTACATTTCTTAATGTTAACACAAAAACTCAACAAGTGCTGGTTTCTTAAAGGTGAGCTATGTGGAACCTGAAACCAGATCAAAGAACTTTCATTACTGTTATATTAATTTTTTTAATACTTTGAGTGGATCTTCTACCCATGCATGATTTTATAACATCATGCATTGGTCATTTGTAAAATATTGGTTTGCTGAGTTTTTCAGACCTTCCAAATGTTGACATATTTCCACTATACAATATCAGAAAGTCACTTTTGTTAACATCATTTCTGGTCTCATCACAAAAATCTTTAAATAATGGGAAGTTAAAGAGTTCACAGTTTTTCAGAATTCTAATTTACACTTGAAAGTTTAAATGTTATCACTGGCATTTCCATTGCTTGAGCTGTTTCCATTTAATAGCTTAATTTCTCTGCTGAGATTTCCCATCTGTTCATTATGAGATATTTTCCTCTTCTTGAAAATATTTATGATATATAATTGGTGCTTTGAAGTCCTTCCTGTCTGCTAATTGCAACATTTGATTCACTACAGAATTGGTTTCTATATTGACAGCTTTTTCTTCAGTGTGGATTACATTGCCCTGTTTATTTGCCTGTCTGGTCACTTTTTTAAATTGTTACTAGACATCATGAATGATACACTGTAGAGACTTTGAGTTCTGTTACACTGTAATGTCAGTTGTTTTCCTTCTGGTAAAGCTCACTTTGTACAATAGCTTTTTTAGAGATTCCATCAGATTTTGTACCTAGAGGGTCGTTCCATCTTTGCATGCAGTTTGATTTCTTACTTTCCAATCTAGATGCTTTTTGCTTCTTTTTCTTGCCCTGTTCCATTAGCTAGCACTTCAGTGCAGATGTCGAATAGAAGTAGTGAGAGCAGACATCTTTGCTTTGTTCCTAATCTGAGGAGGAAAACATTTAGTTTTTTACCATTAAGTGTGTTGTAAGCTGTAGGTTTTTTGTAGATACCCTTTATCGAGTTAAAGTTCCCTTCTATTCCTGTTTTGCTGAGAGTTTTGTTTTCAGGAATGTATATTGGATTTTGTTCAAAATATTTTCTAATTATCCTTTTGGTTTATTCTTTGCTCCATAGGTTATTTAGGAGTGCATTAATTCCAAATATTTGGACTTTTCTAGATATCTTACTGGTATTTACTTGTAATTTAATTCAATTTTGGTCAGATAGTATACTGTAATATTTTGATCTTTTGAAATTTGTTGGTCAGGCGCGGTGGCTCATGCCTGTAATCCCAACACTTTGGGAGCCCAAGGCAGATGAAATTGCTTGAGCCTCGGAATTTGAGACCAGCCTGGGCAACATGGCAAAACCCTGTCTCTACAAAAAAATATAAAAATTAGTCGGGCATAGTGGCACACGCCTGTAGTCCCAGCTACTCTGGAGGCTGAGGTATGAGGATCACTGAGCCCAGGGAGGTCGAGGCTGCAATGCGCTGTAATTGCACCACTGCACTCCAGCCTGGATGACAGAGTGAGACCCTGTCTCAAAAAACAGTAATACAAATGAAATTTGTTAGATTGTTTTATGGCCCGGTATATAGTCTGTCTTCTGAATGTTTCGTTTGCACTTGAAGAGAACGTATATTCTGTAGTTATAAAAGGTAGTGTTTTATAAATGTCAATGAGGTCAAGGTGGTTAATAGTGTTTAGATCTTAGATCACCTATGTTCTGGGTTTTTTTGTGTCTGTATTTTTCTATCAGTTACTATCAATTGTGGATTTTTTGTTTTAGCTGGTTTATTTTGTTTTTCAACTAAAATTTCCATTTAATAGCTTACATTTCTCTGCTGAGATTTCCCATCTGTTCATTATGAGACATTTTCCTCTTCTTGAAAATATTTATGATACATAATTGGTGCTTTGAAGTCCTGTCTGCTAATTGCAACGTTTGATTCACCACAGAATTGCTCTCAATTGACTGCTTTTTCTTCAATGTGTATTGCATTTTCCTGTTTATTTACCTGTCTGGTCACTTTTTAAAATTGTTACTAGGCATCATGAATGATTCACTGTAGAGACTTTGAGTTCTGTTACACTGAACTTAAGTGTAACACATTCCTCTTAAGTGTGTTGGTTTTTATTCTAGCAGGTAGCTAACATGGCTGAACTCCAAACTGTCTCCTTTGCAGTGGGCCGCAGCTACAATCTCTGCTCAGTTCTTTTAGTTTCTAGCTGCCATTTTTTTTTATTGGCCTGATGGTATTTTCTCTGCACATGTGTTGTTTAACAGTCAGCCAAGGATTTGAGTAGGGTTTCTATGTAGATTTTGAGGTTCATCCCTTTTGTAGTTCCTTCTCTTTCAAGATTTCCCTCCTAATTTCCTAGCTGTTCTGCCTACTTTGCACTAACTCCTCAAGCCAGTAAGCCTGTGACTTTCTGCCTTCATGAGCTGTACTGTTTGGGAAGTTGCCCTCTAGCAAATCTCTTCTCATATATAGACTTCATCCAGTTTATACTTACTTTTGGTCACTCTTCCACATGTTCAAATACCTGTATTTCTTTACTTCGTCTAGGTTTCATAGTTGCTAACTGAGGATAGGTTAGTCTGCTCAGGTTACTCTGCAGTGTCTAGAATCTAACTCCCCACCTTATATGGGCCTAAGGCATTGTCTTCTGTCCCTCATGGTGCCGTCAAAATCCAACAGCCAGGTGTGGTGGCATGTGTCTGTAGTACCAGCTACTTGGGAGGCTGAGGCAGGAAGATCCCTTGAACCCAGGAGTTAAAGTCCAGGCTAGGCAACTTAGTGAGCCCCCATCTCTAGAATAAAAAATTATAAGGCTCTTTTTTCTGATATTGGCAGATGTCTATAAGATGACTATAGTTCCTCATCTTGTTAGATATCTTTACGGTAGCTGTGGTTACAGGCTAGCTTACTAGTTCCGTTTGCGGTTCACTACATGAACTGCAAAAAGTATGTCGGCTTTTGGTAGAAGGAGGATTTTTCAGAATACTCATTTGCCATACATATGGCCAGAAGTAGATCTTTTTATAGCACAACCCTACAGATGTTCCCTGCTACCGAGTTTTTGGTTTTTGTTTTTTAATTTTTGGACCCAAAACTTAGAATTCTCCCTGACCTAGTTTTTTACTAGTGTTTAATTTGTCTTCATCTTTCTCAGTTGCTTTTTTCCACTTCTTGTTCTGATTTTATCCTAGATTTCTCCTCTTATTTCCCTTTGTCACCCTTGCTTTCTTTCTGTTATTCATCTTTCATCATCTTTCCTAGTTTTGTCTCTATTCGGCCCACTGCAAGGGGATATTTCCAGAACAGATATATAGTATGTTACGGTTGGAAAAACCCATGAGGTAATTACCCAGCTCCTATTAATTAAAAGAGAAACTGAAGCCCAATAAATAAGCAGTTTGCCTAGAGGCATGCAGTTTCCCTGAGAAAGCTGGAATTAGAATTCTGTTCCTGATTCTCTGGTCCAAAGCTCTTTCCACTGTGAGTTCTCCTGCAATTTGTTTTCTGATTCTGCTTAGGATTTGGTGTTTGTTATTCATATGTCCTTTGTATTATCATATTAGTATAAATCTCTTAAGACCTTATTACCAAGGTAAAAAACGGTGGTTTCCTTGGTGCTTTGGAGTACCATCCATGTTTCTATGGTTGGAGAGGATGCCATTTATAATAAACTTCCCTTCTTCTTCTTCTTCTTTTTTTTTTTTTTTTTGAGATAGAATTTCGCTCTTGTCGCTCAGGCTGGAGTGCAGTGGCATGATCTTGGCTCACTGGAACCTCCATCTCCTGGGTTCAAGCAATTCTTCTGCCTCAGCCTCCCGAGTAGCTGGGATTACAGGCGTGTGCACCACACCCAGCTAATTTTTGTATTTTTTTAGTAGAGACAGGGTTTCACCATGTTGGCCAGGCTGGTCTCAAACTTCTCACCTCAGGTGATCCACCTGCCTTGGCCTCCCAAAGTGCTGGGATTACAGGCGTGAGCTGCCATGTCCGGCCAAGTTTCCCTTCTTAAAGCCCTCCATTACTCCACTCATTCCTTAAGGGAAAGTCTTAGCATACATGTTATAAGTGTAAGTAGCTAGGTACTAGGTACTAGGGATTCCATGATTAATGAGAGATAGCCCCTGAGCCCAGGAGCTCACTTTCAGTCTAGAATAGAAGACAGACAATTTCAATGCTGTTTAGTTAATGTTACTATAGAAGATTTTCAAGATGTTTTGGGAGCACAAAGGAAGAGTAAGTTGAGCCTTAGGAGGATGTGATCAGGAAGTGCTTCCTAACGGATGAAATATGGGAGCTGAGTTTTAAGGGATATTGATAAACCAGCCAAGATAAGAAGGAAGGGAAAGATGTTAAAGAAAGAGGGTCCTATATGTGCAGAGTCATAAGGCTATGAGACACCATGGTGATACCAGGTGGTGGGGGTCCATAAGTAATTTGCTGTTGTTGAATAGCATGAAGTTTGAGATGGATGAGAGAGGTTGGCAGACCCTGATCACAGAAGGCTCTGGAAGCCTTTCTGAGGAGCTTGGTCTTCACTCTAGAGGTAAAGGGGAGCCATGGAAGGATTAAAAACAGCTCTGCAATTTAGATAGACAAATCCATTATAGCAGTAATGCGAAGGATTTGAAAGGCACAAGATTGGAAGTAGAACAGATACAAGGCTTTTGCAGTAGCTCAGGCTAAAGGTAATGAATGTCTGAACTATGACCTTCAGGCAGTGGTAGTAAGGATGGTTAGTAAGAGAATAGGAAGTGGGAATGTGGTTGGGGTGAGCTGGAGGGACCTGTTTGCTGATTTGGGGAAGAGGAAGGAGGAGTCACTGGATTTGGCAAGAAGGAATATCATTGATGACTTGAAAGGGCTAGTTCCATGGTATAGTGAAACAATGGCCAGATTCTAATGTATTAAGGAGTGAATGAAAAGTGAGGAAACAAATAGTGAATACAGGCTGTTTCAAGAAATTTAGATAAGAAGACCAAGAGAATGCATGGTAATTAGAAGGGGTTTGAGGACCACTCATTACCTCCTTGAAATTCACCCCTGTATTGTTTTCCATGACACCCTACTCCTGGTTCTTTTCTCTGATCATTCTTGGGCCACCTTTGCAAACTCCTCTTCCTCTGTGCGCCTCTTAAATCTTTCCCAGGGCTCCATCCGTAATTTTTAGCTGTTCTCACTCTATGTGCTCCCTCTGGCTGATTCTTACCTAGTCATGTTTTCAACTATGAGCTATATGTACATGATTTCCAAATCAGTATTTGCATCTTGGTCTGGTGTATTTAGCTATGTGTTGGATTTCTCTATTGCTTTGGACTTGAGAGATTTCAAATGCATCGTATTTAAAGCTGAACTCATCATCTTCTGCTGTAGCCTGCTACTACTCTTGTGCTCTCTAATTTGCCTCCTCCTTCTTTGTCCTTGTGTACCTGATCAATTAGTCCTACTAATTAGTCTTACTAATTTTGCCTGCTGTATCTTCTCTCTTCCATCCCTCTTTATCATTGTCTTCATCATCTGTTGCCTGGACCATTGCAGTGATTTTCCTGCCCCAGATCTCCTCCAGAGTGATCTCTTCGAAATACAGTGTAAGTTCTTGCTTTAAACCTATCCTTTCTGGATGAAATCTAAGCTTTTTACCATGGCCTACAAAGCTCATTATGCATTGGCCTCTGCCTACCTTTCCAACTTTGACTCATGGCTGTTCCCTTTGTCATACTTCAGGCTCCAGCCATACCAGTTTGCCTTTGGTTTGCTGCACATACCAGGCCACTTCTTATTTCTGTGCCTTTGTTCTTGTTGCTCATTCTGTTCGAAATGACCTCCAGACCCTTCTGACCCTTCCCATCCCCAGCGCTGTAGTTAACACAAAGCCTTTACTGATCATTCTTGCCCAACCCTCATGTCACCTTTTTATCATACCTCCCCAAAGCTGATTAAGATACCCATTCTGTTTCCATGATACCCCATACGTATTTCTGCCAGAGTTTAAGCGGTTCTTTTAATTTATTTGTTTAAATGTCTGTCTCTTCCACTAGTCTGGGAGTTCATATACTCATTTTCATGCAGTGCCTACCATGGTACCTAGTATATAAACAAAATTCAATAAATGTTTTTGTAATGAATGGATAAAATACAAGATGTGGACATCAGCTGAAAGAGAACTGGGCTTTTAAAGAGTGGCAAATGTTTGAAATAGCTGTCAGAGTGGGGGAAGGGTCTGAACAAGGACCAAGAAAAGGATGAATGATATATTTTGTCCCTTTGATTCTATTGCATATGCCTTAAATATTTTATTTTATTTTATTTTTTTTTTTTTTTTTTTTGAGACAGAGTCTCACTATGTCACCCAGGCTGGAGTGCAGTGGCACGATCTCAGCTCACTGCAGCCTCTGCCGCCCACGTTCAAGCGATTCTCCTGCTTCAGCCTCCTGAATAGCTGGATTACGGGCACCTGCCACTGCATCCAGCTAGTTTTTGTATTTTTAGTAGAGACAGGGTTTCACCATATTGATCAGGCTGGTCATGAACTCCTGACCTCGTGATCCACCCGCCTCAGCCTCCCAAAGTGCTGGGATTACAGGCGTGAGCCACCATGCCCTGCCATGCCGTAAATATTTTCATATGACTCCTTACTTTCCCCCCATTTCATTATATTGTGAACTCTTCCCTTTCTTTTAAAATAAATGTCTCTTTCAGGGTTCTGGCTGAATAGTATATCTCTTTTGATTGCAGATCCAATGGATTTGAACAGAAGCGCTTTGCCAGGCTTGCCAGCAAGAAGGCAGTGGAGGAACTTGCCTACAAATGGAGTGTTGAGGATATGTAACTTTCCTGAGGCTGTGGGGGTGGCTGGGCTGTGGTAGTGGGCATAGGCAGCGAGATATCCAGTGGTAACCGTTGTCTGTGCTAATAATTGGAGCCCACAAAGACCAGCAACTTGTTGAATGCCAGTTTTGACTACAGAAGAATATTTGAGACCTGATGTTTGGACTGAGGTACCTGTACTTCTTGGGTATGACAACCCCGGCTGTTGCTGGCTTTCAGAGGAAGCATTGATTTCTCAGTGTACCAGGGGTTGTTCTTGGTTAGGGTTTTTCTTTTCCTTTTTTAAATAAACATATATTTATTTTTTTTAAATTATTTTCTTAACTGGGTATTCTGTTTTGGGAAGAATACAGGCTAATATTGAACCCGTGGGGATTTGGGGGGTGGTGGTTGAATTTTTCACTAATCTAGAAAGCAGTGTGAGTAAAAACTTTTCTTAGTGATAGATCCTTCCTTTGAGAAAACAGGAATTAGTACTAAACTAGGCTCAGGAATAGACACACAGATATTTGGAGACATGGTGTATGATAAAGGTAGTGTCACAAGTTAGTAGAGAAGAGATGGATAATAGTGCTCAGAAAATTGACTTATTATATGGACAAAAATTAAGTTGAACCCTCATACCATATAAAACAAAAATCCCAAAGTGATTAAAGACCTAAATGAAAGATACCATGATATACAGCTAGTAGGAACAATTGGCAAATATTTTTGTGCCTTGGGGTAAAGATAAATTTCTTAAATAAGATCCCAAAGCACAATGCATAAGATTTGATAGCTTTGATTACTTTGTAATTAAAGGTTTCTATTTGGCAAAGCATCCCATAGGCAAAGCTAAAAATGGATATGGATTAGGAGAAAATATTTTCAGTGTCTAAAACTGACAAGGATTGCATATACAAAGGATAGAATATAGAAGGAGCTTCTGCAAATCATGAAGAAAAAGACAAAAATATGCAAAAATATGAATAGGTAAAATCTAAAGAGAAAAACCAGAGTGGCTCATAAGTATATTACCTCACTAGTAATTAGAGATATGCTAATTAAAACACTGAGTTTCTACCTTACATCTTAGTTTGGCAAAAATAAGCAAGAGACTGATCTGATGGGGAATCAGAACTCATGGAATATTTTCTCTTCTCTTTTCTCCTCTTCTTCTTTTCTTTCCTTTTCTCTTTTTTTTTTTTATTTTTATTTTTTAAAGACAGAATCTCACTCTGTCGCCCAGGCTGGAATGCAGTGGTGCCTCCGCTTCCCAGATTCAAGCAATCCTCCTACCTCAGTCTCCTGAGTAGCCGGGACTGTAGGCATGCGCTATACAGTTTTTATTTTTTTAGTAGAGATGGGGTTTCACCGTGTTGGCCAGGCTGGTTTTGTACTCCTGACCTCAGATGATCCGCCCGCCTTGGCCTCCCAAAGTGCTGGGATGACAGGCGTGAACCACTGTGCCCGTCTACATGGAATATTTCAGCTGGTGTATTCATTTTGGAGAACAAATGAATGAAACTTACTGAAATTAATATCTAGGGAGCAATATTGCAGTTTTTAATAGTGTGGCTCTGAAGCTGTACTGCTTGAATTTGAATCCCAGCTATGTCATTTGCTAGCTGTGTAGCCTTTGGTAAGCCAGTTAACTTCTCTTGCCTTAGTTTTTTCATCTGTGAAATAGACATAATAGTACCTACCTCATAGGTTTATTGGAAGCTTCGAACAATGCCTGGCATACAGTAGTATCACAAAATTATGAGCTGTTATTATCACCGTCATCATTATCATCAAGTGGCGTAGCCAGCTTCCAAGATGGCCCCTAATGATCTCTGCCCTGTGGTATATAAGCCCTCATATAGTCCCCTCCCACAATAAATAAGGTTGACCTGTGTAACCAATAGGATGTACTAGAAATGTGTGACTTAGGAAGGTAGGTCATAAAAGGTATTAAAACATCTGCCTTGTGCTATCTTGGATCCTTGCTCTGGAGGATGCCAGCTTCCATATCATGAGGACACTCAAGCAGCCCTCTGGAGAGGCCCAGGTAGAGAGGCACTGAGGCCTCACCAACAGCCAGCACCAAATTGCTGACTGTAGGAGTGAATCACCTTGGAAGTGCATCCGCCAGCTCTACTCAAGCCTGCCCTCAGGCTTACAGCCCTGATCGACCTCGTAAGAGATCCTGACCCAGAACACCCAGCTCCAGATTCTTGAGCCAAAGAAACTCTGAGATAATAAATGTTTAGTAGTTATTTATTTATTTATTTGAGATGGAGTCTCACTCTGTTGCCCAGGCTGGAGTTCAGTGGCATGATCTTGGCTCACCACAGCCTCTGCCTCCCGGGTTCAAGTAATTCTCCTGCCTTAGCCTCCTGAGTAGCTGGGACTACAGGTGTGCACCACTATGCCCGGCTAATTTTTGTGTTTTTAGTAGAGGTGGGGTTTCACTATGTTGGCCAGGCTGGTCTTGAACTCCTGACCTTGTGATCCGCCCACCTCAGCCTCCCAGAGTGCTGGGATTATAGGCATGAGCCACTGCGCCCGGCCATGTTTAGTATTTTTTAAAAACAGCTTTATTGAAATACAACTTATATACTACACAATTCATCCACTTAAGGTGTATTATTCAGTCAGTGGCTTGTAATATATCACAGAGTTGTGCAACCATCACCACAATTTTAAAACATTTTTATCATCTTATGAGTACAAGAAACCTTGTACCCATTAGCAGTCACTCCCCACTTTCCCCTAACTTTTCCAGCCTTAGGCAAACACTAATCTACTTTCTGCCTGTATAGTTTGCCCATTCTGGACTTTCATAGTAAGATATGAATGGGACTCTCATATAATATTTGGCCTTTTGTGTCTGGCTTTTTGTGCTTAGCATAATGTTTTCAAGGTTCATCCATGTTGTAATATATATCAGCACTTCATGCCTTTTTAAGGCTGAATAATATTCCCTTGCACGGATATACCACATTTTATTTATGTGTCATTTGATGAACATTCAAGTTGTTTCCACTTTTTGGGTATTATGAATAATGCTGCTGTGAAAATTCATGTAAAAGTTTTTGTATGGATGTATATTTTCCTTTTTCTATTCCTAGGAGTGAAATTGCTGGGTCATATGTAACTCCATCTTTAACTTTTTGAGGCACTGCCAAACTTATTCCAAAGAAATGTATGGGCGTTCCAAGTTCTCCACATGCTTGCCAACACTTATTATTTGTCTTTTTGATTATAGCCATCCTAGTGGGTGGGAGGTGGTATATCTCATTATGGTTTTGATTTGCACTTTCCTGGTGGCTGGTGATGTTGAGCATCTTTATATATCTTTTGGAGAAATCTTTATTCAAACCCTTTGCCCGTTTTTCATTTGGGTTATTGGTTATATATACACATACACAGGCACTCTCTTATGTAAAGGGTTCTTTATATATATCTTGGTTATAAGTCCTTTACTAGATATGCAAATACTTTCCTCATTCTGTGAGTTGTTATTGTTTTAAGATGCTCAAGCATTTAGGGAAGGAAATTTGCATTTAGGGTGGGTAAGCAACAGCAGGTACAGTTATAAGCATAACAATTGTTACACAGCAACAGATAACTAATACTTTAAATATGTACATACTTCAAAGTAGTTCCACTCCTGGCTATATCCTTCAGAGAAATTTGCATAAATCCTTGAGGAGTAGATACAAGGATGTTTTTCTATGTATAGTTTGGGTGGCAAGAATTTGGAAAAAACTTAGATGTCCATCACTAAGGAAATTGATAAGTAAAATGTGGTATATACATATAATGGAGTATTTTTTTTTTAAGTCAAATGCAAGCTGTTAGGAATTTAGTGAAATGATAGACTTCAAGTGAAAAAAAAAATGAGGAACAATGAAATTTAAAGCAAAAATCAGCTATGTAAATTAAACACATGAAGTGATATTAGTTTATAAGGAGGATATATACCTTAATCAGTAGAATAGGTCTGTGGGAGGGAACAGAATGAGACTAGAATGGAGAATGAAGCAGGGAAAGGGAAGCGAAGAGGGCTTTGCATGGATGAAAGTGATTGTGTGTCATGAACTCAGGCCTGTGATAACTCAGTTCTGTGCACCTGAAGCCCTGAGTGCAGCTCCAGAAGCAAGGTCTGCTTTCATGGAATTGACATTTAGTACCCATATTAGTTAGGGTAGACTAAACTGCTAAAGCAGACTCCAGATAGACATGTTTTTCCCCCCTGCTCACTCATGTAACATCCAGGTCGTTTCAGGTTGAGAAAGTAGGAGTGGGATACTCCGTGAAGATGTTTAGGGATGAGGCTGATGCCAACTTCACTATGGCTTCCAAGGTTGCGTTGGGCATTACCATTTTAGTGAGTTGAGCAGAACTTGAAGGATTGCTTGGCAGATGTATGGGCCAGCTCTAGAAGCAGCACACACTTCTATTCATATTCTGTTGGTAAGAACCTAGTTACAAGGCTCCCTCTTAATGCAAAGGAGCCCCAGGAATATAATACGCATTAGGAAGAAGAGATAGATGGATGTTGTTGGACTCATAACATATTATCTTTGCCACATTATATACTTCTGAGACTCCTAAAGAAAGGCTGTCCATCCCCCAGCCATTTGAGACATACATGGATTTTTAAATAGTTTTGAGACCTGAAAATTCCGAAGGGAGTATCAGCTGGGGTCACTACCAAGTTAGGGATGTCGCTTCCCTGACTCTGGCCAGTGATTGTCAGAGAAGGGCTTAGGTAGGGAGATAAAGGGTAAACTGGAATTGTGTCGAGAGTCAGCGTTTATGAGATGGAAGTACTTTATTTTTACAGCTCAGGTCTTGCTATGTTGCCCAGGCTGGAGTGCTATGGCATGCTCATTGCAGCCTCAAACTTGTGGGCCGTGATCCTACTGTCTCACCTTCCCAAGGTGGCAGATGAGGCATTCAACTCCTAGCTCATTGTCACACCCCTTCTGCACAGCTAGGTTTTGTTTCCATATGGGTTCGGCTTTTAACTTCGTTTTTGTGGAACCCCCACACTGTTTCTTAGGAACACCTCACTCTAAGAGGCTCAGAGGCTTTAGAAATCTTAAATCACTTTTTTTCCCTTAACAAAGGAATATATTATTTATTTATTTATTTATTTTTGAGGTGGAGTCTCGCCCTGTCACTCAGGCTGGAGTGCAGTGGCACGATCTCTCGGCTCAGTGCAACCTCCGCCTCCCGGGTTCACGCAATTCTGCCTCAGTCTTCCGAGTAGCTGGGATTACAGGCACGTGCAGGAATGTATTATTTATTTTTAAGCAGAGATTGAGGTGTAGGGAAAG